ACAGACACCTAGGTAGCAATACCAAGTTGGGTCTTGATTAAAGCTACCCTCATTCTAAATTCGGTGTCAATATGTCTAAGCAAACTCAAGTTATTAAGCGGGGATTGAATTTCTATTTTTAGCAACATTGGCACTGATCTTGATCACAGACATGTGGGTAGCGATCACAAATTGCCTCCTGATATAATTTGCTGTCAATAGGTCACAATTAAGTTATTGAGCAGAAACTGAATTTCTATTTTTAGCAATTGAGTGACATTGACCTTAATCATAGTCACCTGGATAGTTATCCTCATTAGCGTCTTGATATAAGCTACCAGTACACCAAGTTTGGTGTCAATAGACTAAAGCAAACTCAAGTTATTGAGGGCAAACTGAATTTCTATTTTACATAACAGTGACCTTGACCTTGATCAGACACCTTTGTAGCAATCACCAGCTGCCTCTTGATATAAGCTACCCATACACCAAGTTTAATGACAATAAGCCAAAGCAAACACAAGTTATTGAGCGAAAACTGAATTTCTATTTTTAGTAACAGTGACCTTGACCTAGATTACAGACACCTAGGTAGCAATCACCAGCTGCCTCTTGATATAAGCTACCCATACACCAAGTTTAATGACAATAGGCCAAAGCAAACTATAGCAATTGAGCACAAACTGAATTTCTATTTTTAGTAACAGTGACATTGACCACAGACATCTTGGTAGCAATCCCAAACTGCCTCTTGATACACCAAGTTTGGTGTCAATAGGCCAAAGCAAGTTATTGAACAGAAACTGAATTTTTCATTTTTAGTAACAGTGACCTTGACCTAGATCACAGACACCTAGGTAGCAATCCCCAGCTGCCTCTTCATATAAGTTACCCATATACAAAGATTAGTGACAATAGGCCAAAGCAAACTAAAGTAATTGACCAGAAACTGAATTTCTATTTTTAGTAACAGTGACATTGACCTTGATCACAGACATCTGGGTAGCAATCCCAAACTGCCTCTTGATATAAGCTACCCATACACCAAGTTCAGTGTCAATAGGCCAAAGCAAGTTATTGAACATATTGTCTAGTATTGATTGTATGTAAATTTAAACACTTACAAAGGGGCATAACTTTGTCAAAATGCAATACAGAGTTATGAAACTTGACCTGCATATCTTACTTGTGACACCTCATAATATTATATATTCTAAGTTTCAAGCAGTTACCTGTACTAGTTTCTGAAATATTCAAATACGTGTTAAAATTTAAGAACATTTTCTAAGTCAATTTTTGACCTTCAAGTTTGACCTTGACCTTAAGATGGCACAAACATTTGAGTAAAGTTTGAAGAAAATTCTTCCAGTAGTATAGGATTTATAGAGCAGATATGACATATTGTCTAATATTTGATTGTATGTAAATTTGAAGACTTAAAAAGGGGCATAACTTTGTAAAAATGCAATACAGAGTTATGAAATTTGACCTGCATATCTTAATTGTGACACTTCATATATATTTTAAGTTTCAAGCAAATATCTTTTCTAGTTTCAGAAATATTCAAATACATGTTAAAATTAAAGAATATTTTCTCAGTCAATTTTTGACCTTCAAGTGTGACCATGACCTTAAGCCAGCAAAAGGGTAACATGGGTTCTACACATAACCTTGTTGAGGGGAAAATATGAGCCAAGATTGTAGAAGATCTTTCAATTAGTGTAGAACTTACAGAGTGGACACAACATACTATCTTTATTTGATTGTTTGATATTTGACCTTCAATTGTGACCTTGAACTGACACATGGGCAACATGGGTTCTGCACATCCCCTTGTTGAGGTGAACATTTGAGCCAAGTTTGAAGAAAATCCTTCAATTCGTATAGGATTTATAGAGCAGACAGGATAATGGAGACGGACAGACGGACTGACCGACGCGACAAAGCAAATCCATTATAGCCCCCCCCCCCCATTTTGTGGTGGGGGTATAATGAGCCAATTTTAACCCCAGGGCATTTATTTGAACAAACTTGGTAAAGACCCATTAGAAGATGTTTTATGCTAAAAATCTAAGCTCTAGCTCTTTGGGTTTTTTAAAAGAAGATTTTTTAGGTTTCTTCTATATACATATATGGAAAAGCAATGACCCCCTTGGGCGGGGCCAATTTTGACCCCTGGGTTTTAATTTGAACAAACTTAGTAGACACTTACTAGCCAAATATCTAAGCTCTAGCTCTTACGTTTTTTCACAAAATTGTAAATTTGACAAAACATATCAATTCACAAGCGAAACCGCAGATGCAAAACATCACATGCTGATCAACATTCCTGTAAAGTTTCATAACCCTATGTCAAATACTTTTTGAGCTACATGTCACACAAGTTGAAAATTGCAAATTTTTAATAAGTCAAGGACAATTACTCTACAAATACTAAATAAATCTAAATGAAAATTCCTAGGTGCACAACTACATATGCTGATCAACATTCTTTAAAAGTTTTATGACCCTAGGTCAAATTCTTTTTAAGCTATGTGCAACACAAGTAGAAAATTGCAAATTTTTATCAAGTCAAATGCAATATCTCTGTAAAACAAAATAAATCCACAAGCGATGCCCCAGGTGCAAAATTTCACATGTTGATCAACATTCCTGTAAAGTTTCATGACTCTAGGTCAAACATTTTTTGAGTTACGTGCGACAAAAGTTGAAAATTGTAAATTTTTACTAAGTCAAGAGCAATGACTCTAAAAATACTACATATATCAACATAAAAATACCCAGGTGCACAACTGCACATGCTGAGCATCATTCCTGTAAGGTTTCATGACTCTAGGTCAAATACTTTTTGAGCTACCTGCGATACAAAATGAGAACGGACGTAAGAATGGACAGACAGACAAGGGTAAATCTAAATGCCCCCCTTAAAGTGGGGGCACAAAAAAGTCGAACTAGCAAAACAAAATGAATTGTTTTGTTCCTTTGATATAAAACATCATGGGGCATGTGAATTTACCTGCCATTTGAGTCAGTTGAAACAGTCACGTTATCAATTTTGAAACAAGGCAGTCTGAAGGACAGCTAAATCCCCTTCCGCAGTGAACATGAATGTGTACTTCTTGACCTTTTACCAGCCACGACCTTGATGTTATGCCATGCATATCAGAAGCAGATAGTCTCATGATGGTAATTATTTGTGCCACGTTATTAAAATCTTCCATAACGTAATGTTGAGCTCTGCAGATTGTGTCATGGTGGTGATCATTTGTGGCAAGTAATTTTAAAACCTTTGAATTGTCAATAAGTTATAGAGCGGACATGAAAAATAGATGTTTTTAAATTGGACCATTGAGTGTGACCCTCACCTTCATGGTTGTGACTTCATTATTGTGCTCTGCCAATGGTGTCATAATGGTGATAATTTCTGCTAAGTTATCTTAAAAACATTGCAGCGGTTAAAATGTTATGGACAGACACGAAAATTTAATGTAGACTTTCTTACATTTGACCTGTAAGTGTGACTTGACCTTGGGTGAAGCAATTCATTTTTTGCGCTCTGCACATAGTAATCACTCGTGCCAAGTAATTTAAACAAGAGGGCCATGATGGCACTGGATTGCTCCCCTGACCCATCAACCGCATCCAAACAATGTCTTAGACAAGCATCCTGGCCAAGTTTGATGACAATGGAGTCAAAAATGTGACCTCTAGAGTGTTAAAAAGGTTTTCCATATTTGGGCAATGTGACCTAATTTTTGACTGGAGATGACCCATATTCAAACTTGACCTAGAAATCATCAAAACAATCTTTCTGACAAATTTCCAGGATATTTGGATCCACACTGCAGCCACTAGTGTTATAAAGATTTTTCTATTTTCAGCTCCTTTGACCTAGTTTTTGACCGGAGATGACCAATCTTCGAACTTGATCTAGAAATCATCAAAACAACCTTCCTGACAAATTTCCAGAATATTTGGATCAAAACTGCAGCCACTAGAGTGTTAACAAGCTTTTTCTATTTTTAGCTCCTGTGACCTAGTTTTTGACCGGAGATAACCCATCTTCGAACTTGACCTAGAAATTATCAAAACAACCTTCCTGACAAATTTCCAGAATATTTGGATCAAAACTGCAGCCACTAGAGTGTTAACAAGCTTTTTCTATTTTTAGCTCCTGTGACCTAGTTTTTGACCGGAGATGACCCATCTTCGAACTTGACCTAGAAATCATCAAAACAACCTTCCTGACAAATTTCCAGAATATTTGAATCAAAACTGCAGCCAGTAGAGTGTTAACAAGCTTTTTTTCTATTTTTAGCTCCTGTGACCTAGTTTTTGACCGGAGATGACCCATCTTCGAACTTGACCTAGAAATCATCAAAACAACCTTCCTGACAAATTTCCAGAATATTTGGATCAAAACTGCAGCCACTAGAGTGTTAACAAGCTTTTTCTATTTTTAGCTCCTGTGACCTAGTTTTTGACCGGAGATGACCCATCTTTGAACTTGACCTAGAAATCATCAAAACAACCTTCCTGACAAATTTTCAGAATATTTGGATCAAAACTGCAGCCACTAGAGTGTTAACAAGCTTTTTCTATTTTTAGCTCCTGTGACCTAGTTTTTGACCGGAAATAACCCATCTTCAAACTTCATTTAGAAATTATCGAAACAACCTTCCTGACAAATTTCCAGAATATTTGGATCAAAACTGCAGCCACTAGAGTGTTAATAAGCTTTTTCTATTTTTAGCTCCTGTGACCTAGTTTTTGACTCGAGATAACCCATCTTCAAACTCGAATTAACTTGGGTCTTTCCCTGGACTTTCAGCAGGTTCAAGACACAGAAATGTATGAAGCAATACACCCAGGTATGTTTGACATATAACACAACCTGGTCTATGTCAATGAATACTATGTAATGAATATAGAAATGGATTTTCATATTTCTTTAGGCAAATATTAGTGTTTTTTTTTCTAGAAAACTTACAGGTAAATAACAAAAAAAAAGAAAGATTTACCATGCCAGGTTTATATTGCAGATCTCCTAGCTTTTTGAGGGAATCACATGCTTGATACACACTTCCAACAGACAGATGTAACTGAGCAATTGTCAACCAGACATCAATGAACGAACCTCTGTCTCCTGTCTCAAGATAGTCCTATAAGGAAGCACATAATTTAAATCATTGCTAAGAAAGCCAATTTCTATAAATTTATTATAAATAATAACCTACTTTCATTCATCCTTAATGACCAAAATTTATACATAAATTTGCAATGCTTCCAATTTGGAGCAGTCCATTGTTAATCATAAGTGGCATATTCATGTCATTAATATGGCTGATGGCATTCCATAATTTCAGATATGTATACAAAAATTACATGCTTAAACAAGATTGCATTTGTGAAAAATGCTATACCACCGCATTAATACACCACTAAATAGTAATGTAGGAACAGAATTTTTTTTGTTTCTATACAAATGAAGATTGCCATAATGCATAGATCAATGACCTATCTAATTCTTATTATTAGATTTGTGGTTAAATCTATTGTTATTCAAATAGAAGATCATAGTAAGAATCTACCAATGCAGTTGAGTCTAGTGAATTTGGTGGTGAAGGTCATATTTTACATGGCCAAAATTCCATGACTGTGTGTAGAACATTGAGACAATGTGTGATTTTGACAAAGTGTCTTACTGTGTTGTCCTTTGATGTACAGTGGCCCTTATTTCTATTGTTATGGAATGAACTCTACTGTTCTCTTTTGTTCTGTTAACAGTAAGATGTCCCCTATTGCTTTTCAGTGGTGCAGAGAGATGGTCAGATAGACAATGCCATACCATAATACATCTTTAAGGTCTTTTTGGGTGTATAAAACCCCAAAATATTCAACACTTGCTTACGGAAGCAAAAGCGATTACCCTAGTTAAAGCCAAAACAATCCGGACATCTTCGCAATCTGGCCAGGATATTTACTGTCAGTTGACAACCTATTTTGAAATATGTAAAATTGATAAAGGGCATTTCAAAAAATATAAGATGAACAGGTCTATTTAAGACATGGAACAGGTTAAGAGTTCAATATTTCCATGGTGTACACTTATCACTTGTAAATGACCTTTCAGAATTTTTTACATGAATTTAATATCCATTTTACCTCTAGAAGTTTAATAGCTTTAGGTGTTTGTTTTTCCCTGACATACTGAGCTGCCTCTATCAACACTGGTGTATTAATTCCAGGGTACTGATCCTGCAACTTGGCAGCTACTTGATGACACTGTTCATTCTAAAGAAAAAAAATAGCATCACTAAAACAATGTTTACCCCGTGTTTCTTATTGTCATTACAAAATATTTATTAGCTTTGGTGGCTTTTAAATCAAACATTGTTAAGGTAAAATGCCAGCTTTACTGACAGAAAACTTTTCATGTATTATTTTAGGCACAAGCAGATATCTGAGAAACAATCCACAATCTGTACCCAAGATAGCTGCCTCACATGAAATCATTCAAATTCTGAGCCGGCAGGGAACCATAACAAGAGCTGTCCGTAAGACAGCGCGCTCGACTTTTTTATTGCTTGCCAATAAAAAAAGTTTTTGCAGTAAAAGGCAATACAAGAATCTCTGTATTTTTAAAGTGAACTAGTTGTTTGATACCCTTGAATATTACAGCAATGTTTATATGACATAATTTATGGTAAAGTGAACAAGTGGATAGGAATGAATTTTTTTAGATTTTTTAAGTTTTTTAGTGCTTGCCTATAATACAAAACATTGACAGTTAAGGGCCATAATTCAAATAAAATCTTTGACAGAATTACCTTCTCCTGGACATGTTTGGGAATCATGATTGTAAACAAGTATTCCAACTTTCAAATTAATATCTCAAACAGTTCAGTCAAAAAGTGGACTGGTACTAAAAACTTAACCAAGATTCTAAGTCGATAAAAGGCCTTAATTTTTAAAACAAATCCTTGACAGAGTTACCTTCTCTTGCGTACAGATGGGGGTAATGATGTGAAATAGCATTAAAAGTTTCAAAGCAATATCTCAAAGGGTTAAGGCAATAAGTGGATTTTACCCATATTCAATGTATTTTCTAAGTCAAAAAGGGGCATAATTCTGTCAAAAACCTTGACAGAGTTATGTCCTCTTGTCTGTTGATGAAGGTCGTGATGGTAAACAAGTATGGTCAGTTTCAAAGCAATACCTCCAATGGTTTTGAAATAAAGTGAGGTGGTACAAAAAACTTAACCAAGCTCAATACACTTTCTAAGTCAAAAAAGGGCCATAATTCTGTCAAAAACCTTGACAGAGTTATGTACTCTTGTCTGTAGATGGAGGTTATGATGGTGAACAAGTATGGTAAGTTTCAAAGCCATACTTGTAATACTTCTGAAATAAAGTGGGGTGGTACGAAAAACTTAACCAAGGTGTGACGCCGACGCCGACGCCGGGGCGAGTAGGATAGCTCCCCTTTTCATAGAAAAGTCGAGCTAAAAATGTTTTGTTCCCATAAATGGTAAAAGAAAATGCCTATGAACTCTGTGATATAATTATTACATGTCTGAAATTAGAATTGGGCAATATTTTAATGATCATGCATTAAAAGATACTTCATGTACATATACAAATAACAATTATTTATCATAATAAATATTTCACCTGGTTAGAGTACATGTGTAATAAACACTGGTTGATATCTATCTCACGCTTCTGACATGCTGACATTTTATGTTTCAAATTACTACCTGTTGCAATTTTCATCTTTTTTTTAGAGTCAAACACATTCTGGTCCTGTAACAAATTTTAATAACATCTAAACGTTTCTTTCATTTAAACACATATTTTAATCTTATTCAAAGCAGTTTTAACATATCTGAAATCTGTAAGCATATTATATACAAAATTTGACAATCTATTTCATGTTGTGTTCCTTTATCAACTAGAACTGCCACTATCATGGCGTGAATACCCCCGCATACCACTTTGTCAGAATCAACAGTGGCCATTTAGAGCTCAAGGACAACCTCCCTGCCAAATCTGAGGTTACTAAGCCAGTGCATTGCTAAGTTATGTATTCTACATGCTTCAAATGTGAAAATGTCAAAATCAATACATTGCGGACAGGACATTCTTTAGCAATTGAGAAGAAAAGCTTTTTTTTGTCAAGGTCCCTGAGACCTTGACCTTTGACCCAGTGACCTCAAAATCAATAGGGGTCACCTTATAGTCATGATCAACATCCATGCCAAATATGAAGACTGTGGGTCAAAGGAATCTTAAGTAAATGGGTGGACAAACTTTTTGAAGTCAAAGTCCCTATGACCTTGACCTTTGATCCAGTGACCTCAAAATCAAAAGGGGTCATCTACTAATCATGATCAACATCCATGCCAAATATGAAGACTGTGGGTCAAAGGAATCTAAAGTTATTGGGCAGACAAACTTTTTGAAGTCAAAGTCCCTGTGACCTTGACCTTTGACCTGGTGACCTCAAAATCAATAGGGGTCATCTACTAATCATGACTAAACTCCATTCCAAATATGAAGACTGTGGGTCAAAGGAATCTTAAGTTATTGGGCGGACAAGCTTTTTGAAGTCAAGGCCCCTGTGACCTTGACCTTTGACCTGGTGACCTCAAAATCAATAGGGGTCATCTACTAATCATGACTAACCTCCATTCCAAATATGAAGACTGTGGGTCAAAGGAATCTTAAGTTATTGGGCGGACAAGCTTTTTGAAGTCAAGGCCCCTGTGACCTTGACCTTTGACCTGGTGACCTCAAAATCAACAGGGGTCATCTACTAATCATGACTAACCTCCATTCCAAATATGAAGACTGTGGGTCAAAGGAATCTTAAGTTATTGGGCGGACAAGCTTTTTGAAGTCAAGGTCCCTGAGACCTTGACCTTTGACCTGGTGACCTCAAAATCAATAGGGGTCATCTACTAATCATGACTAACCTCCATTCCAAATATGAAGACTTTGGTTTGAAGGAATCTTAAGTTATTGGGCGGACACGCTTTTTAGTCAAGGCCCCGTGATCTTTGACCCAGTGACCTCAAAAACAATAAGGGTCATCTAATAATCATGAATAACATCCATGTCAAATATGAAGACTGTGTGTACAAGGATTCTTAAGTCATTGGGCGGACAAGCTTTTTAAAGTCAAGGCCCCTGTGACCTTGACCTTTGACCTGGTGACCTCAAAATCACTAGGGGTCATCTACTAATCATGACTAAACTCCATTCCAAATATGAAGACTGTGGGTCAAAGGAATCTTAAGTTATTGGGCGGACAAGCTTTTTGAAGTCAAGGCCCCTGTGACCTTGACCTTTGACCTGGTGACCTCAAAATCAATAGGGGTCATCTACTAATCATGACTAACCTCCATTCCAAATATGAAGACTGTGGGTCAAAGGAATCTTAAGTTATTGGGCGGACAAGCTTTTTGAAGTCAAGGCCCCTGTGACCTTGACCTTTGACCTGGTGACCTCAAAATCAACAGGGGTCATCTACTAATCATGACTAACCTCCATGTCAAATATGAAGACTGTGGGTCAAAGGAATCTTAAGTTATTGGGCGGACAAGCTTTTTGAAGTCAAGGCCCCTGTGACCTTGACCTTTGACCTGGTGACCTCAAAATCAATAGGGGTCATCTACTAATCATGACTAACCTCCATTCCAAATATGAAGACTGTGGGTCAAAGGAATCTTAAGTTATTGGGCGGACAAGCTTTTTGAAGTCAAGGCCCCTGTGACATTGACCTTTGACCTGGTGACCTCAAAATCAACAGGGGTCATCTACTAATCATGACTAACCTCCATGTCAAATATGAAGACTGTGGGTCAAAGGAATCTTAAGTTATTGGGCGGACAAGCTTTTTAAAGTCAAGGCCCCTGTGACCTTGACCTTTGACCTGGTGACCTCAAAATCAATAGGGGTCATCTACTCATCATGACTAACCTCCATGCCAAATATGAAGACAAAGGGTCAAAGGAATCTTAAGTTATTGGGCGGACAAGAAGAAACCGACGGACGGCCGGACGGTCGGACAAGCTGATTCCAGTATACCCCCCTTACAACTTTGTTGTGCGGGGGTATAAAAATGTCATTGATTATATGCTCTTCTTCCTAAATGTTAAAAAAAACAATAAGCAACAGGAATGAGTTTGGTAAACACAAATGTCCCTGCCCCGGATTCTTGTAACGAATTTTCCAAACAAGGTTTTCTCATTCACTCAGTTATGGACAGGAGAAAATGCTAAAATATATAGTAAACACAGTTATATAGCTTCACAAAATCTGACCTTTTGTTATTGTAAACAAGATGGCCCTTCTATCACTTACCTGAATATCAATATTCTCCATGACAAGGAACAAGTAATATTGTAAACTATAAATGAAAGCAGAAATGAAATCTAAATCTTAAAATGATATCACAAATGTTATTTTTGTATCTGAAATAGTGCATGTGTAAAAACTATAAGTGTATAAAGCTATATAACAAATGAAACTAGAAATGTGTCCATAGGACACGGATGCCCCCACACGCCACTGTTCTGTCAATCTTATGACTCTAGGTCAAATATTTTTTGGACAACATGTGAACTAAAAATCAACAAAGAGCCATAATTCTGTTAAAAATTCCTTCCTTTACTACCATCTACACATTAAGATTGTTCATCCCTGGAAGTTTAAGCAAAATCTGCCATCCGGTTTAAGAGGAGTTGCGTTCACAAAATTTCTACATAGTATATAGTGAAAAAATCAACAAAGGGCCATAATTCTGTTAAATTTGGTCGCAGCAAAAATTCCTTCCTTTACTACCATCCACGCATTAAGGTTGTTCATCCCTGGAAGTTTAAGCAAAATCTGCCATCCGGTTTAAGAGGAGTTGCATTCACAAAATTTCTACATAGTGTATAGTGAAAAAATCAACAAAGGGCCATAATTCTGTAAAATTTGGTCGCAGCAAAAATTCCTTCCTTTACTACCATCTACACATTAAGGTTGTTCATCCCTGTAAGTTTAAGCAAAATCTGCCATCCGGTTTAAGAGGAGTTGCGTTCACAAAATTTCTACATAGTATATAGTGAAAAAATCAACAAAGGGCCATAATTCTGTTAAATTTGGTCCGTCAAAAATTCCTTCCTTTACTACCATCTACACATTAAGGTTGTTCATCCCTGTAAGTTTAAGCAAAATCTGCCATCCGGTTTAAGAGGAGTTGCGTTCACAAGATTTCGGGACGGACTGACGGACGGACGGACCAGTGCAACGCTATATGCTCCCACATTGTGGGATTGTGGGGCCATAAAAATTGTTGTTTGAATTTTATAAAAGAGCTGTCTGTAAGACATCATGATCGACTATTCTAAGTGCGTGATAATAAAAAAGCCTTGATAATGTAAAATTTTCTAAGTTTACAAAAGGGCTAATTTTTTACAAATCCATGTTATAGGCCTTGGAGAGAGTCCTATTATGCTGTCAAAGAAGTGTATAAAATTTCAACTTGTTTCAAAGCTAGATGTCAATGAAATACAACAAGAGCTGTCGGTAGGACAGCAACTATCCACTATTCTGACTATTCTGATAGTAAAAGAGACTTGATAATGTAAAATTTTCTAAGTTAACAAAAGGAAAATTTTTTCTTTAAATCCATGTTACAGTTACAGGCCTTGAAGAGAGTCCCATTATGCTCTCAAAGAAGAGTATAAAATTTCAACTTGTTTCAAAGCCAGATGTCAATAGAATATGAATATATCTGAGGTGGTATGCAAACTTAAATGTAAATTCTAAGTTGAAAAAGGGGCATTATTCTGCCAAATGCTTCACAGAGTTACCTCTTCCTGGCTACAGGTTGTGGTCATGTAGGTGAATAAGTGTGCAAAGTTTCAAAGCCATATGTCAATGGACTTTGAAAATATTTTAGGTATTACAAAACCTTTAATGTAAATTCTAAGTCGAAAAAGGGGCATAATTACGTCAAAATGCTTGACATAGTTACCTCCTACTGTCTACAGGTTGGGGTCATGATAGTGAACAAATGTGCAAAGTTTCAAAGCCATATGTCAATGGACTTTGAAAATATTTGGGGTATTACAAGAGCTGTCGGTAGGACAGCAACGCTCAACTATTCTTAGTGCTTGATTGTAAAAAAAAATGCTTGATACAGTTACCTCCTCCTGTTTACAGGTTGGGGTAATGATGGTAAACAAGTGTGCAAAGTTTCAAAGCCATATGTCAATGGACTTTGAAAATATTTGAGGTATTACAAAAACTTTAACGTAAATTCTAAGTCAAAAAAGGGGCATAATTCTGTCAAAATGCTTGATACAGTTACCTCCTCCTGTTTACAGGTTGGGGTTATGATGGTGAACAAGTGTGCAAAGTTTCAAAGCCATATGTCAATGGACTTTGAAAATATTTGAGGTATTACAAAAACTTTAACATAAATTCTTAGTCGAAAAAAGGGGCATAATTGTGTCAAAATGATTGATACAGTTACCTCCTCCTGTTTATGGGTTGGGGTAATGATGGTGAACAAGTGTGCAAAGTTTCAAAGCCATATGTCAATGGACTTTGAAAATATTTAAACTATTACAAAAACTTTAACGTAAATTCTAAGTCGAAAAAGGGGCATAATTCTGTCAAAATGCTTGATACAGTTACCTCCTCCTGTTTACAGGTTGGGGTAATGATGGTGAACAAGTGTGCAAAGTTTCAAAGCCATATGTCAATGGACTTTGAAAATATTTAAACTATTACAAAAACTTTAACATAAGTGGTTACGCAGACGCCGACGCGGCACCGAGGCTCGGGTGACTACAATAGCTCTACTTTTTCTTATCGAATAGTCAAGCTAAAAACTTTAACATAAGTGGTTATGCAGACGCTTGGGTGACTAGGTTAGCTCTACTTATTCCTATCGAAAAGTCGAGCTTAAAAGTATACTTCCAAAATGCTTTTAAATATGGTGATTTATTGCCTAAAAAGTGAATGGCACATACACAAAATCATTGCTAAACAGAATAAACCCTACTTAAAATGGCAAAATAATATTTTGTTCTTAACATTTTATTCTGTTTACGTACATTATTCATGCGTATTATATATCAGAGGCATTCTATGTTACAACTTTTTCGGGAATCAACTATACCATAATGGAACCAATATAATTTTACTATTGATAAAATTTATTAAAATATTTCATAAGATATTGATTTACACCCTTTAAGTAGTTGCTATTGTAAAGGGAAAACAACAGTTCCATAAGATGTCACTGTTTGCTATAGTTTCCTTGGAAGTGAGTTGCTTTTAAATTCAATGGTAGATTCAATCATTAATATGGAAAGTTAAAGTTTGCTGGTTGCTATGAAAGTTAAAGTTTGCTGTGAACAGGCAATAATTGCTGCTATGAAGTCACTGGTTGCTGTGAAAACTAAGCTTTAGCACTTGTATTTTTGGAGAAGATTTTTTTTAAGTTTTTACTATATACATATAAGAAAAATCAATAATCCCCTGTGGCGGAGCCAATTTTGACCCCAGGGCTTTTATTTGAACAAAACTGGTAGACATCTACTAGAAGATGTTTCAAGCTAAATATCTAAACTCTAGCTCTTTGGGTTTTTTAAAAGAAGATTTGACCACAACAATGAGCTAAAAATGAATGGCACTATTATGTACTTTGTATTGTAAATAATGTAGCCATTACTAACAAGTATACAAAGTTTCAAAGCATTTGCCTAAAGGGTATAGAAAATAAATGGGATGGTACAAAAAATTTAACTGAAATACTAAGTGGTAAAGGAGCAAAATTTTGTAATTATTCTAGACATAGTCATGTCTTATTGCCTGGAAGTGGGGTTGGTGGTCATTAACATGTATACAAAGTGTCACAGCAATATCTCAAAGGGTATAGGAAATACATAGTGTAGTACAAATAATTTAACGGAAATTTTAAGTCAAAAATGGGGCACAATTTTATCAAAATCCATGACAGATTTATGTCTTTTTGCCTAGAAGTGGGATGGATGGTTACTACCAAGAAAACAGTTTCACAGCAATACCTCAAAGAGTGAAATAAGTGGAGCGTCACAAAAAAGTTAACCAAAATTCTAAGTTGAAAAAGGGGCCATGAAGTTGGGATGATGATCATTAACAAGTATACAAAGTAATACCTCAAAGGGTATAGGAAATAAGAGTAGTGGTACGAAAACCTGATGCAGACAGAGTAGGATAACTCTCCCTATTATATAATCAATATAAAAGCCAAGCTAAAAAGTATAATTTTTACGCAGTTTTCCATAATAAGAGAGCAACAATCAATTACTTTTTATGTAAAGAATGAACATATTTCTCTTTGTTTACATGGTTGATATAGAACAAGCAAAAGACTATGAGCCAACTTACTTTATTAACAGCCACTACATTGTTCGACAAAACTGCCATCAATCCCACATCAGATGGCCTGAAAAAAATGTATGCAAAAGCGTTGTTTCACAAGGATCTTACACTGGCTAACTGTACAGACCAAAATATCTAGCTAACTGTTTACCATAGTAACAAGGCTCCACTAAACAGTAACCCCGAGATCTAGATATTTACACCTGAGATGAATGCTCGTGTATAATCATTCTAGTTGTCTATTACATATAAATGATATTTCGGAAAGAAATAACCAAATAAATATTTTAAATTAACACTTTTTTTATAGAAGCGCATGAATTTATAAACTTTATTCATAAAAATTTGCCAAATAATTTCATGTTAAGAGTTCCTTTAATTGCAACAGAAAACATATACAATAAGAATTTTTTAATTTGGACAAGTTCTGGACACAATAAAACAGCATGGTTGCAGAGGATTACAGAAATATTTTAACAGACTCAGTCTGAGATTTACATACAGTTATAAGGTAGACAGAAGTTACAGCTAAAAGCTTACAGATTTAAACAATAAAAAATCAAGATACTTTCTCGTTTAATATAAAACACATCATTAAATACTTTATAAGAAATAAAAGAGTATAAAGTAGGGCCGGGTACAAAAAAGCATTTCAATGTTGAAATATTCCTACTTTATATTTGAATATATTTATTTTTATGAAGTTTAATGAGAGTAATAATGAGAGTAATAATGTGGCTACTCTATTGTTTTCTCTATTGTTCTTTTTAGCCACATAAAAGAAAATAGCCACATAAAAGCATTAAGGAATGAATGACATCAAAGAGAAAGAACAGTTACCTATTGCCCCTCTAGCCACATAACTACTGTCCTGCGAGTGCCGACGGACGGATGGACGTCCCGACAGACGGACAAGGTGGCGACTATATGCTCTCCCTTCGGGGAGCATAAAAATGAACAAAGGGCAATAACTCCAAAATTAGGCATGGCAGAGTTACGGTTCTTGTGCACTGCACAGCTACCCATTGAGATCTATCTACCTTCAAAGTTTCATGTTGATATCTCATTTAGTGGACAAGATTTTTCTAAAAGGGAAGATAATTCATAAACAGGGCTGAGCAGAGTTATAGTTCTTTTGCATTGAACTTCCACCCAATGAAATCTACCTACAAATTTTCATGTTGATATCTCTTATAGATTTAGAGTTATGTCCCGGACAAGATTTTTCTAAAAGGGGAGATAATTCAACAAGAGCTGCTGGTAGGACAGCAACGCTCGACTATTCTTAGTGCTTGATAGTAAAAAAAATGCTTAATACAGTTACCTCCTCCTGTTTACAGGTTGGGGTCATGATGGTGAACAAGTGTGCAAAGTTTCAAAGCCATATGTCAATGGACTTTGAAAATATTTGAACTATTACAAAAACTTTAACGTAAATTCTAAGTCGAAAAAGGGGCATAATTCTGTCAAAATGCTTGATAGACTTACCTCCTCCTGTTTACATGTTGGGGTCATAACGTTGAACAAGTGTGCAAAGTTTTAAAGCCATATGTCAATGGACTTTGAAAATATTTGAACTATTACAAAAACTTTAACGTAAATTCTAAGTCGAAAAAGGGGCATAATTCTGTCAAAATGCTTGATAGAGTTACCTCCTCCTGTCTACAGGTTGGGGTCATGATGGTGAACAAGTGTGAAAAGTTTCAAAGCCATATGTCAATGGACTTTGAAAATATTTGAACTATTACAAAAACTTTAACATAAGTGGTTACGCCGACGCCGACGCTCGGGTGACTGCAATAGCTCTACTTATTCTTATCGAATAGTCGAGCTAAAAATGGGGCAAAACAGAGTTATGGTTCTTTGAAACTGCACTTCGCCTCGATGACCACTTTGTGAAGTTTAAACAAACTATCTCCAAGGGTTTTCAAGTTATGCTCCGGACAAGATCACGGACGGACAGATGGACGTACTTACCAAATGGTACTTATGTGACTTTTCCTTTGATCTTTTTAGCCATTTTTAGTCACACAAGGCTTAAAAAAAGACACACAAAAGTAAAAACAGAATGAATAGGATCAAAGAGAATTTACTGTTACCTATTGTACTTCAAGTCACACAAGTACCTCTGGGTTTGTACGGACTGAAGGACAGACGCATAAAAGCATTATGGAATGAATGACATCAAAGAGAAAGAAGAGTAACTTATTGTCCCTCTAGCCACATTATTACTGTCCTGTGAGAGCGGACAGACGGACAGAGACTATTTCTATATCCCCTGCCGCCTTTTAAGCGGAGGATAATCAAATAAAACAATTGTAACTTTTCTTCTCAAAACTATTCCTGAATTATTATATTATGATTATGACCTTAGACCCTGAACACCTACCTGTATTTCTGAACTTGATTATACAAGGTTATAGCCTCATTATTCCTGCCAAACTTCTGAAGTATGTATGCTAGTTGCACCCGAATGATAGCTAATTCTTCAGCAATCTCCTCCTCTGTCACATCAGGATCATCAGCAAAACTTTCCTTACACATTTCTGTAGTAAATGAATTATTCATTTATCTATTTATAGAAGTTTTTCTAAATTTCAAACAGCCCCAGATTAACCCCTTACAAAGTGATCAGCATTTGTTAACATTATAGAGCTATGCCAGCCTGCGCATCCATGTTGTCTCACCTGGCTCTATACTATGGTAGTTTATTTCTTGTATTTAAATCCCTTAAACTTTGAATAGGCTATTAAAAAACACAAAGATAGCAAAGACATTAGATATGTTGCCTCAGTAAAAATGTCTTCTGGAGACTTCATCTGGGATCCAAACATATAAATATTGATGTATAGACCATGCCCTTGTATCTACCTTTTAAATGAATATTAATATATATATATATATATATATATATATATATATATATATATATATATATATATATATATATATATATATATATATAAAGTATGTTTTGGGAATCGAACTTCTTTTTATATATATATATATAAATATATATACAAAAAATGAAAACAAGTGCCGGAAAAAAGTCACATATAAATAAAACAAAAAACACAGTCCATGAGTTAACTTATTTAATTATTTGCCAACCGGTTTCTCTTATGATCATCAGGACAAATGTGACGTCGTCGCATAGTAACGGCGACGTTTGTGTGTACACATGTGTACGCATAATCTAAAAATAGTAATGTCATCATATAGTATTAAGTTTTGGATTAAAAACATCAATAAAATAGCGTTCTTTAGGTAACCTAGCTGAAACGTTTTTACTGTGGAATTTATAAAATGGGAAAATACAAAATTTCGGGTCTTTTTTAGAGCATTTATCTAAATGTTCACTTAAAGGTAATTGTCTTGTTGATGGGTCTCTGATCTGCTGAGCATGAACAGTTTTCTGTTTCTAATTTGTCGCCTGTTTGGCCTATGTAAAATTCTTAGCATAGAATTATATAGAATTATTTCCATTTTCAGGACACTTGTCTTTCTTGTGTAACAATCTTGATATTGGTTTGCATGACATGCCAGATTTAGCTCATTAACTTAATTAATTGAAACAGGTTTACAAAACAAGAGGGCCATGATGGCCCTGAAGTCGCTCACCTGTATATAGGCCCCCAGGGCAGGGCCAGTTTAAACCCCAGGGCTTTTATTTGAACAAACTTGGTAGACACCCATTAGAAGATATTTCACGCTAAACATCTAAGGACTAGCTCGTTGAGTTTTTTAAAAAAAGATTTTTTAAGTTTTAACATAAACACATGTAGACACATATAGTTAAAAGCAATGACACCCCTAGGGCGGGGCCAGTTTTGACCCCAGGGCTCTTATTTGAACAAACTTTGGAGACACTCACTAGAAGATGTTTCATGCTTGATATCTAAACTCTAGCTATTCTGTTTTTTTTTTAAAGAAGATTTTTAAGTTTTTGCTATACACATATATAAGGAAAATCAATGTCCCCCGGGGCAGGGCCAATTTTGACCCTAGGGTTTTATTTGAACAAACTTTGAAGACATCTAAGTGGAAGATGTTTCATGCTTAATATCTTAACTCTAGCTATTTGGGTTTTTTCAAAGAAGATTTTATAAGTTTTTGCTATACACATAAATAAAATCAATGACCCCCAGGGCAGGGCCAATTTTGACCCAAGGGCTTTTATTTGAAAAAACTTTGTAGACACTCACTAGAAGATGTTTCATGCTTAGTATCTAAACTCTAGCAATTTGGTTTTTTTCAAAGAATTTTTAATTTAAAGTTTTTGCTTTACACATATATGGAAAATCAATGACCCCCGGGGCAGGGCAAATTTTGACCCCAGGGCTCTTATTTGAACAAATTTGGTAGACACCCATTAATCATGGTTCATGCTAAATATCTTAGCTCTAGCTCTTTGGGTTCTTTAAAAGAAGATTTTATAAGTTTTTACTATATGCATATAGGGAAAATCAATGCCCCCCTGGGGCGGGGCCAATTTTGACCCCAGGGCTTTTATTTGAACAAACTTGATAGACACCTATTAGAAGATGTTTCATGCTAAATATCTTAGCTCTAGCTCTTTGGGTTCTTTAAAAAAAGATTTTTTAAGTTTTTACTATATGCATATAGGGAAAATCAATGACCCCCTGGGGCGGGGCCAATTTTGACCCTAGGGCTTTTATTTGAACAAACTTGGTAGACACTCATTAGAACATGTTTCATGCTAAATATCTTAGCTCTAGCTCTTTGGGTTCTTTAAAAGAAGATTTTATAAGTTTTAACTATATGCATATAGGGAAAATCAATGACCCCCTGGGGCGGGGCCAATTTTGACCCCAGGGCTTTTATTTGAACAAACTTGGTAGACACCCATTAGAAGATGTTTCATGCTAAATATATTAGCTCTAGCTCTTTGGGTTCTTTAAAAGAAGATTTTTTAAGTTTTTACTATATGCATATAGGGAAAATCAATGACCCCCGGGGCAAGGCCAATTTTGACCCCAGGGCTTTTATTTGAACAAACTTGATAGACACTCACTAGAAGATGTTTTATGCCAAATATCTAAGCTCTACCTCTATGGGTTTTTTAAAAGAAGATATTTTAAGTTTTTTCTGCATGGAATTAAATTCTTTGAACAATTTTTAAAGGTGACCACCAAAGAAACATTCCTGTGAAGTTTGGATGAAATTGGCTCAGCGGTTTATGAGGAGATGTCATTTAAAGTAAAAGTTTACGGACGGACGCCAGATGGATGGACGCCGGACGAAAAGCGATCACAAAAGCTCACCCTGTCACTTTGTGACAGGTGAGCTAAAAAAAAATATAGTTAATTAATTGGTGACTGTTTACAGGCAACACCTCTATAATGTATGATGAGAAACTTCAAAATGTTCATACCTTCAGCTTGTCTAAGTTTCTGCTCAGCACCTTTTAGGTCCCCTTTCCCTATCAGGTAACAGGCATGGTTATAACATAACTCATAGGTACTATCTCTTGAACTCGACTCTTCCTACAAACAATACCTTATCAGTTTGACACATTAATTAGTAAAAAATTATGTATTGTTTTATTATCACCTTATTTTATTAGGAAGCAATTATTTTTTAATTTTAATGATACTTATAAGATTTTATCTTTCTGAGAGGAAGAAGGTAAAAGTAATGCATAGAGACTATCACCTATCAGCAAAAGATTTTCCTGTAACTTTCAGTTGGGTGGCTAGTTCTACAAAGACAGGTGTTGTATATTTTGTTAACAGTGAACTTTAAGTAAGTTAGTGAGTAACAACTTAATTCAAGGAGTCTTACACCTTTGGTTTTGTCATGTGGACTTCAGCATATACATAAAATAATTATATACAGTCAACAAGTAAATAACAAATTCAAACAATGCTTAAAACGAATGCATGGATACTATAAAAAGAGTGCTACAAGAATAAAGAAACATTAGCATGTCATTATGTCCAACACATTGGTGCATAGTTATTTCTAAATCCATCAATTGTCCCACCAACACTGTAACGGTTATATTGTGACTTTACTGGTAAAGCCCATTTAATTTCAACCCAAGTACAAGCACCAATATTCTGCAAGCTAGTTGGATTGCTTCCTCTACATTGGTGATGGATGTGACCATCAGAATATGGAAATAATGCTTTTGTACAGATTTATACTATATATCACTAATTCAGTTAGTTTTTTTAATGCCCGCTGGAGTTGCAGTAAAGCAGGATAACTTTAGAACAATGATCGATGTTTGTTTGTTTTGTTTTGTTTTGGGTTTTACGTCACATCGACACAGTATAGGTCACATCGCGACGTTCCAGCTTTACTGGTGGAGGAAGACCTCTGGTGCCCTTCCATGATCAATGTAAATGACAATGAGAACAGATCATTTTAGCTAAATGAAATATTTATATAATGCAAGGGGCTTGGAAAATATAATGTGAAAAATACCACATCTGTTCCATCCCACATTTGTAGTGATGCAAGCACTGCTGACAAGTTTGTCTCCCTTTCCTCGTCAAATTCATCCTGTATGAAATATATATATAAAAATTATGTTATTGACTATCTTTAATAGTAACAACTGCCACAAGGTGTCATTTAAGAAATACTTGTATATCGAGATTATTAGCTACATGCAAGGGCAATAGTTTGATTCATCAAGTGCTGTTACAGCAATGGATGAATGGATTGTTTTGAATGAAATGTATAGTCTGTATGCATCTTATCATACAGTGAAAGCTATAAATCTCATAATATTAATGTGATTTACATCCACCCAGGCATTCATTCATTAATTCATTGTGATGATTTATTTAAGAAATACATTGCTCAGCCCTGTATTATTTCCAATGAAACAAAACAAAATAAAGATCACTAATGCCCTTTTCTCAAGCTGGGATTATTTCCTCTGCCAATTTTAGTATTGGGCTGTTCTATTCTGCACTTTAAAAAGACCTGTTTCTGGATAGAGAACTCATCTTTTGTCAGGTTGGATAGTAAATAAGAAACATGGCAATGCCACGGAACCAGGTTCTTAATTATCATCACTGTATGCAATGTATGTATACTTTTGTGCATTAAAACAAAAAGAATTACCCTATGGGTTTCAAAAGCAATCTTTATTGAAGCTTTCAAATACTTTAGGAATAATATACAAGTTCAATTAAAATCTCATTCCTAAATCAAGTTATAGGCCTGAAACCATGTGACCTTTTATTGATTCTAGGATACCCAAAAGCAATTCCAAACAAAATCTTCACATAAGATTTCTTTACACCATGGCAGTTTCATTGAAATATCTCATTCCAAACTCTAGTTACTGACTGGAAACTGATTTCCTATTTTTAGTAACAGTGACCTTGACCCAATGGGATCCAAAAGCAATCATTAGAGATATATTTACCTAAGCTTTCTATACACCCAAGTTTCATTGAAATATCTCATTCCAAACGTCAAAGTTATTGACCAGAAACTTATTTTCTATTTTTTACGTAACAGTGACCTTGACCCAGGAGGCCCAGAAGCGATGGTAAGTGAGGTCTTTAAATAACCTTGCTATACACCAAGTTTCATTGAAATATCTCATCCCAAACTCAAGTTATTGACCGGAAACTGATTTTTTCTTTTTAGAAACAATGACCTGGACCCTCAGAGGCCCAAAAGTAATCCCAAGTAAGGTCTTTCCATATGCTTGCTATACACCAAGTTTAATTGAAATATCTTATTCCCTTTAGAATTAAGAGAAGTTCCGCACAAAAGGAATTGTTCACTATATATTTCATATAAGGAACAAGAGGGACATGATGGCCCTAAATCGCTCCCTTGACCCATCAACCACATCCAAGCAATGTCTTAGACAAGCATCCTGGCCAAGTTTGATGACAATTGAGTCAAAAATGTGACCTCTAGTGTGTTAACAAGAGGGCCATGATGGCCCTAAAACCGCTCACCTGTATATAGGCCCCTGGGGCGGGCCAATTTTAACCCAGGGGCTTTTATTTGAACAAACTTGGTAGACACCCATTTTAAGATGTTTCATGATAAATATCTAAGCTTTAGCTGTAAGAAGATTTTTTAAGTTTTTACTATACACATATAGGGAAAAACAATGACTCCCCCCCCCCCCCTTTAAGGCGGGGCCAATTTTGTCCCCAGGGCTTTTATATGAACGAACTTGGTAGTCACTCACCAGAAGATAGTTCATGCTTAATATCTAAACTCTAGCTCTTTGGGTTTTTTAAAAGAAGATTTTTTAAGTTTTTACTATATATACATATAAGGAAAATCCATTGTTCTCGGTGCACGGCCAATTTTAACCCCAGGGCCCTTATTTGAACAAAAATGGTAGACACCAATTAGAAGATGTTTCATGCTAAATATATTAGCTCTAGCTCTTATAGTTTTTAAAAGAAGATTTTTTTAGTTTTTACTATATACATCTGACTAGATGATGTTTCATGCCAAATATTTAATATCTAGCTCTTTCGGTTTTTTAAAAGAAGACATTTTAAGTTTTTTCTTTTGGTTGCCATGGCAACTAGAGTTCTGCTTGGAATTAAATTCTTTGAACAATTTTTAAAGTTGACTACCAAAGGAACATTCCTGTGAAGTTGGGTGAAATTGGCTTAGCCGTTTATGAGGAGATGTCGTTTAAAGTAAAAGTTTACGGACGGACGTCTGACGTAAAACGATTACAAAAGCTCACCATGTGTCACTTTGTGACAGGTGAGCTAAAAAGTTTTTTCATATTTGGGCAGTGTGACCTAGTTTTTACCCAGGTGACCCATAATCAAACTTGACCTAGAAATCATCAAAACAAACTTTCAGACCAATTTCCAGGATACTTGGATCAAAACAGTAGCCACTAGAGTGTTAACAAGATTTTTCTATTTTTAGCTCCGTTGACATAGCTTTTCATGTGAAATGGCCCATGTTCAAACTCATTCAAGCAATTACCTAGACAAACATCCTGACCAAGTTTGATGATAATTCCTTGACCTTTGAGGTAGGGACATGGTTTTTGGACACGACACATCGTCTTGATGTGGTAGACATTTCAAAATCCCTCAATGTATATCACAGTTACAGTGCAGACAAGAATGAAGTGGGGATGCACAAACGGACAAACAGACAGACGGATGGTGCGATTCTAATTTGACTCCCTTCAGGGGCATAAAAAACAGGACTAAAATAAATTACCTGTGAGTTCTTGATAAGATCCCTATACAACTTGTAACACTCATCATACTCCTCTAATCTGTACAACTGAAAGTAAATGTCACAGTAAGTAAATCAACAACACCTATAGGGTGACAGAATAATCTACTAGTAGTTTAAAATATGGTACTTCATGCAAATGTATTCCTGAAACAATAAATGGTAAAACTAGAAATGTGTCCATAGGACACGGGTGCAACTGTTCTGTCAATCTTATGACTCTAGGTCAAATATTTTTTGGACTACATGTGCCACAAGTTGAAAAATCTTTAACTAAGTAAAGGGCAAGAATTTTACAAATACTGAATAAATCCACAAGCAAAACCAAAGGTGCATAAATACACATGCTGACCAACATTCTTGTAAACTTTCAGGCCTACAAGTCAAATACTTTTTGAGCTATGCATGAACAAGTTGAAAATTGCAAATTTATACTACTGTAAGTCAAGGGCAATCACTCTAAAGGCCTCAACAGACGGTAGGATTTAGTTGTACAGCACTAATTAGAGAAAAGATGTACAATTTTCAAAGCTATACAACACTTGCATTCAGACGCTTATTCTACACTGTAAGAATCATCTGAGGTTTCCCCTAAAAAGGACCCCTTTACATTGATCCTTTACATACTTTTACTCACTAAATACATTTTTCGCCATGAGTAATGATTGAAACACCTCCATTTATATATATATATATATATATATATATATATTTTTAATGTGAAGCCTGACCGAGACTCAAACCTGGGACCCTAGGAATACCGCGTACTGCGGTTCTGCTGACTAAGCTATCTGGCCGCCTACAAACTTCTTCCCCTCCCCTTATTAGAGAACAATTCAATACCTTGACATGATTATTTTCGGAATAATTTGGGATTCGAACATAACACAACTTTGGGTCTCCTGTGAAGAGTTTTTCAACATCATTTTTACCCCATCTTACTACTATGTTTACCTTTTAGCCCTAATTGTTCTGGAATTTCATTCATTACACCCATTATCAGGAGTTAATTTGATTATCTGTTACTTGTCATTGTGGGAGGTCTATAAAAATCGGTACGACAAGATTTTCAAAATAGAACATGTCCTATCCCTTACATCTAGACATAAGGTTTCCGAAATCAAGAAATAGTAGCCTTCACACATTAAGATTTGTCTGTACATCTTAGTTTTAATTGGTGTTGTACTTCAAAATCCTACCGTCTGTTGAGGTCTTAACAAAACTGAAAACTAGAAATGTGTCATCATGCCACGGATGCCCCCGCATGCAGCCAAAATTTCAGATGTTATAATATTTAGTTCCAAATTTGTTTGCACAAATTATTGTTTTCATTTTAAGTTCAAAGCCCTTAAAACTTTTCAACGTTTACACAAACCATTTTCATACAATGTTCAAGGCACTGAAATTATTCAGTCTTAACCTTTTGAAAATAGCATATTTCATATTTGTAGCCAAAATAATGGCTACATACATTTCCACAAAAGTATGAGTGCTGAAACTGAAAGTTCAAATTTTTTCCAATATTCAAGAAAGATAAGTTTGTCCAAAATCATTGAACCATGACCAAATTCAAACTTAAACTGCTTATTCCTAAGATGTATCTATATTATTTTCAAAGTGAAAGGGACATAACTCTGCCAAAAAATCATCGAACCATGACCAAATTCCAACTTGACCTGCCCATTCCTTTGACATATCCATATATCAAATTTGAGTTGAATATGTAACACTGTTGGGTAGATAATGAACAGAAACTGTAAATTTCATATTATTTTCAAAGTGAAAGGGGCATTACTCTGCCAAAAATCATTGAACCATGACCAAATTCGAACTTGGCCTGTATTTTCTCATGACATATCCATATGTGAAATTTGAGTTGAATGTGTTGTACTGTTGGGGAGATAATAAACAGAAACTGAAAATTTCATATTATTTTCAAAGTAAAAGGAGCATAACTCTGCCAAAAATCATCGAACCATGACCAAATTCAAACTTGACCTGTATTTTCTCATGACATATCCATATGTCAAATTTGAGTTGAATGTGTTGTACCGTTGGGGAGATAATGAACGGAAACTGAAAATTTCATATTATTTTCAAAGTAAAAGGGGCATAACTCTGCCAAAAATCATCGAACCATGACCAAATTCGAACTTGACCTGTATTTTCTCATGACATATCCATATGTCAAATTTGATTTGAATGTGTTGTACCGTTGGGGAGATAATGAACGGAAACTGAAAATTTCATATTATTTTCAAAGTAAAAGGGGCATAACTCTGCCAAAAATCATCGAACCATGACCAAATTCAAACTTGACCTGTATTTTCTCATGACATATCCATATGTCAAATTTGATTTGAATGTGTTGTACCGTTGGGGAGATGATGAACGGAAACTGAAAATTTCATATTATTTTCAAAGTAAAAGGGGCATAACTCTGCCAAAAATCATCGAACCATGACCAAATTCGAACTTTACCTGTATTTTCTCTTGACATATCCATATGCCAAATTTGAGTTGAATATGTGCAACCGTTACTAAGATAATGAACGGAAACTGATGATGACGGAATGACAGAATGACGGAAGGACGGAATGACGGAAGGACGGAATGACGGAAGGACGGAACAGGGTAACACTATATGCCCCGGCCATTACATGGCGGGGGCATAAAAATCCACATGCAAAGTCCCAGGTGCATAGCTTCACAGTGATGTTGATCATTATTCCTGTAAAGTTGGTTGATTCTAACTCAAGCACTCAAGGAACAAATAACACAACATAATGAAACAGTTTTTACTAAGTCAAGGGCAATAACTCTACAAATACTGGATAAATCCACAAGCGAAACCCAAGGTGCACAACTACATATGCTGAGCAACATTCCCGTAAGGTTTCATGACTCTATGTACAATCCTTTTTGAGTTATATGCGAAACAAGTTGAAAATTGCAAAAACTAGAAATGTGTCCACAGATGCCCCCGCATGCAGCCAAAATTTCAGATGTTATAATATTTAGTTCCAAATTTGTTTGCACAAATTATTTTTTTCATTTTAAGTTCAAAGCCCTTAAAACTATTCAATGTTAACACAAACCATTTTTAAACAAAGTTCAATGCACTGAAACTATTCAGTATTATTTGTAAATTGCATATTGCATATTTGTAGCCAAAATAATGGCTACATGTACATACATTTCCACAAAAGTATGAGTGCTGAAACTGAAAATTTTTCCAACATTCAAGAAAGATAACTTTGTCCAAAATAACTGAACCACGACCAAATTCAAACTTGAACTGCTTATTCCTAAGATGTATCTATATGTCAAATTTGAGTTGAATGTGTACAACCATTGGTGAGATAATGAACGGAAACTTAAAATTTCTGATTTTTTTTCAAAGTTCAAGAGGGATAACTCTGTCAGCTATCATCAAACCATGACCAAATTCGAAATTGACCCATGCATTCTTATGACATATCCATATCTTTAATTTGAGTTGAATATGTACAACTGTTGGGGAGATAATGAATGGGAACTGAAAATTTCCTTTTTTCAAAGTTAAAGGGGCATAACTCTGCCAAAAATCATCGAACCATGACAAAATTCGAACTTGTCCTGTGTATTTCCTTGACGTACCCATATGTTAACTTTGAGTTGAATGTGTAATACCCTAGAGAAGATAATGAACGGAAACTGAAATTTCATATTATTTTCAAAGTGAAAGGGACATAACTCTGCCAAAAATCATAGAACCATGACCAAATTCGAACTTGACCTGTGCATTCCTTTGACTTATCCATATGTCAAATTCGAGTTGAATGTGTAATACAGTTGGGGAGATAATGAACGGAAACTGAAAATTTCATATTATTTTCAAAGTAAAAGGGGCATAACTCTGCAAAAAAAAAATTGAACCATGACCAAATTCAAACTTGACCTGTATTTTCTCATGACATATCCATATGTCAAGTTTGAGTTGAATGTGTAATACCGTTGGAGAGATAATGAACGAAAACTGAAAATTTAAGTTTATTTTCAAAGTAAAAGGGGCATAACTCTGCCAACAAGAGCCACCGCCGGGCGGGGGCAACGCTCGACTTTTTACTTTTTCTAAACGCAAACATAGAAAGGTTTGAACATATCTTAACATTTCCTTTTTATAAATTTAGTTGGTCTGTCTTGTCACATTAGTTTTGTTTATCTATTTTGTATATATATATGAATAGAAACACGCAATTCTAAAAATAGAAACATTACGCAATTTCTAAAAATAGAAACATTACGCAATTTCTAAAAATAGAAACATTACGCAATTTCTAAAAATAGAAACATTACGCAATTTCTATAAATAGAAACATTACGCAATTCTATAAATAGAAACCCTATAAATAGAAACATTACGCAATTCTATAAATAGAAACATTACGCAATTCTATAAATAGAAACATTACATTACGCAATTCTATAAATAGAAACATTACGCAATTCTATAAATAGAAACACGTTGTTGTTGTTGTTGTCGATGATGATGATAGATATGTATATATATATATATATATATATATATACACACACACACACACACACACACACACACACCAATAAATATATAATTATGGTCATTTAATGCACAAATCTGAGAAAATTCAGTAATTTAACCTTCAAGGTCAAGGTCATTAAAGAGCCCAAGCAAATTTGGGTTTGATAAACAACAAGGTCTGGTCCTTAAGAATATTCTGTTATAATATGAAGTTGATCCCTTCAATAATAGCAAAGTTACAGTCAGTTACCACCAAAACAATGAAAATTTCAATAATTTGACCTTCAAAGACAATGTCATTAATGAGTGAAGGTCAAGGTCTTTCAGTATATTTTTAACAGTTATCTTTGAAGATTATTATGTTCAAGTTTCAAGACAATCCATTCAAAAATAACAAAGTTACAGCCAATAATAGTCAAAAAAATGAATATTTCAATAATTTGACCTTCAAAGTCAAGGTCATTTATGAGTGAAGGTCAAGGTCTGTCTAGTTATTTTTAAGGGATATCCCTGAAGATAATAATGTTCAAGTTTGAAGACAATCCATTCAAAAATAACAAAGTTACAGCCAATAATAGCCAAAAAAATTAAAATTTCAATAATTTGACCTTCAAAGTCAAGGTCATTTATGAGTGAAGGTCAAGGTCTGGCTGGTTATTTTTAAGGGATATCCTTGAAGATTATTATGTTCAAGTTTGAAGACAATCCATTCAAAAATAACAAAGTAACAGCCAATAACAGCATGAACAAGCAAAAATTGGACTTTAAACCTTGAAGGTCAAGGTCATTTATGGATGAAGGTCAAGGTTAGTGTGGTCTACTGAAAGGTCTTGTCCCAAGGGTTGTTGTGGCCAAGTATGAAGACAATACACCAAGAAATAAAAAAGTTAGATCCAGGTACAAGTTTGCGGACGGGAACGGCAACGGCAACCCGACTATAACAATACCTCTACTTTTTTTTTCAAAAAAAAAAGTCGAGCTAAAAATCATCGAACCAAGTCCAAATTCGAACTTGACCTGTATTTACTCATGACATGTCCATATACTAAATTTGAGTTGAATGTGTGCAACCAATACTGAGATAATGAATGGAAACTGATGATGACGGAATGACAGAATGACGGATTGACGGAACAGGGTAACACTATATGCCCCCAGCCATTATATGGCGGGGGCATAAAAATTTTAAGTCAAGGGCAATAACTCTAAAAATACTAAATAAATCCAGACGAAAATACCCAGGTGCACAACTACACATGCTGATCAACATTCCTGTAAAGTTTCATGACTCTGTCAAATCTTTTTTGAGTTACATACAACACAAGTTGAAAATTGCAAAATTTTACTAGGTTAAGGGCAATAACTCATGCACAACTACACATGCTGATCAACATTTCTGTAAAGTTTCATGACTCTAGGTCAAATACTTTTTGAGTTACGTGTGACACAAGAGCACGGACGGACGTACTGACGGATGGATGTGCGTACTTACGAAATGGTACTTATGTGACTTTTCCTTTGATCTTTTTAGCCATTTTTAGTCACACAAGGCTTAAAAAAAGACACACAAGTAAAAACGGATTGAATAGGATCAAAGAGAATTTACTGTAACCCATTGTTCTCCAAGTCACACAAGTACCTCTGGGTTTGTTAGCATGGATGGATGGACTCCGGATGAAAAGCGATCACAAAAGCTCACCATGTCACTTTGTGACAGGTGAGCTAAAAAAAGCTGTAAAAACACTTATTTATTTGATTTGATTTGCGTTTTACCAAAATGTATACATGTTTAAAATGGAAAATTTTTGTCATGAACTTTCCTGCTTTTGAACTTGGACCAGACCAATAGTAATTGAACAATTCCCATGATCAAGTACTTAAAATAAAGTTAAATAAAGTCTTAAACAAAAATCTAGTCAGATTACCTATACATGTAAACAGGCCTGATTAAACTGATGGTATAGATAAATTAATACTTACTACTTGAGCCAGGAGCTCCTTGCATCTATTATCCAAGTTGTCCCCACCTGCACGAAGAGTTGCTACAGCTTCCTGTGTTCGATTTAATCTATACTCACAATAGGCTTTCTCAAAACGTACAGCACTGGAATGAAAACATTGACAACAATAACAGAATAGAATACAAAATCTATATTATTCATATAGTACTTAACTGCTATATTTGGTTAATGTAATGAACTTGTCCTGGTTTGAACTTGATGGATTTTAATCCATAACCTGCTGGAGCTGACAGTGATTAGCGTTTGTCAACAGTAAAGAGCCAGATCAGGCTACACTAGTTCTTCTATACTATTGGCTGATTATTAACATTTAAATTTTGATATACATTGTACCCAAAATTATTGATAATGGAAAGTATCATCAATTGAAGTTTGACAAATTCATTCAAGGAATTCAAAATTAATTTTGTGTAATAAATGTATAATGAACTTATCCTAACCTATAATTGGGGGGATTTCAATATTGATACTGAATCATAATTTGCAACAGTTACTGCTGAAGGGATCTCTTTGAAGATATGGTTAACAGAGCTGCATTACTGATACTGGTACTGGTACTGCAGTTCTTACTGCAGTGATTTTGCAAATACTGGTACTGATACTGAATTACTCTTACAAAATGTTGCCACTACTGGTACTGGTAATGCATTACTGTCTTAAAAAGTGGTACTGCTACTGCATTACCAGGCGGTACTTTGGTTTTGATAAAAATGTCACCAGTTAACTAGTAAAGAATAGGCAAGATAAGCACTAATTAATTGCTTCTATTCTAAATAATTCTATTTCAAGTGATATTGTTAACATGATAAAAAGTTGTTATTTACTTATTATTTATAAATTGAACAGAGGTGTGAAGGTGTGAAAGGAAACAAAAGACTGTTGTGTTTTAAATGAGAGATGATTGCTTTGCATTACAGTTGACTGGTTACTAAACAATAAGATATGACATGAATATATGTTGTTAAAAAGGTAAAGGTCTTGTTTATTATAGTGTCACCCCTACTGAAAGGGCCAGCCATTTTGGCTTATGAGACACCTTTTGGTTGCATACCATGTACCTCCCAATTCCTACCACTATGCCAGGCGCCAGGCGGATAGAAATCGGTAACCATTCATTTTAACTACCTCGCGGCTCACGAAGCGGCCATTTCGGAACGAGTCCCACGAGAAACATTCATCCTTCAATTAACGCTCCCCGTGGGGCTCGAACCTTCGACCTCCCAATCCGAAGGCGGACGCCTTAACCACTAGGCCAACGGTACCGGTTGTTAATATTGTTTGGAAAAAGTATGTTATATCATTAAAGTAGTAAAAATGTAATGTTAAATTTTTAAAGTAAATTATAATTCCGTTATTTTGCTGAATAATGTTTGCATTTTCTTAATTTGAAGTGTACACATGTGAAATGGAAATACTTATTTAAAAATAATGCATCATTAAAATATGTAAATATACATAATATGTTATTTTTGTTTGACGAGTGTGTATTAATATTCAAAATATGATGAATATATAAAAGTACTGGTACTCAAGAAATTTTATATGAAGCATTAAAATGTGCTATTTCATAAGATTGAGGTATGGATCTCAGGACTTTCAGTCATGATCAATGCTAGATCTGCAAATGCAACAATAAATTTATCAAAGAAATAAAACGAAACACGGAATTTAAACATCTATCATTTTAAGCTTTGACCTTTAAGTGTAACCTTGACCTTGGAGGTAGGGGTGCAGGTGTTGTGCATGACATATCGTCTTATTATTATGACTATTTGTGCCAAGTTATTTCAAAATCCCATGAACTATTTAGAAGTTCTAGATCGGACACAAAATATACCCTAATTAACAGACTAAGTTAATTTTTGACCTCTTAGTAGGACCTTGACCTTGGAGGTAGTTATGCAGGTGTTGCGCATGACACATCGTCTTATTATAGTGAACAATTGTGACAAGTATTTACAAAATCCCTTCATAGATAAGAAAGTTATGGACCAGACACAACATATACCCTCAAATAGACAATGTTGACTTTGAATGAGCAAGTGCGACCTTGACCCTTTAGGTAGGGGTCTGGTTTTTGCGCATGACACATGATGCATCTTATTATAACAAACATTTGTGCCAAGTTATTTTAAATTCCTTTGATAAATGACAAAGTTATGGACCGGACACTAGAATTGTGTTCATAGGACACAGATGCCCCTACACTCCACCAATTTGTTATTCTACAAACGTACAGCAGGCCAGTATGACGGATGGACAGACAAAGAAAATTCTACATGACTTCAACTACCCCTAAGAGGTTAGAGCATGTAATGAAATAACAACAAACTTTTCCAATGCTTGACATCTTGATTGTTCCCTATATTGAGCTGCAAGACTTCCAAATCTCAATTTTATATTCTTAAGGTATAATGCTTAAAAAACAAGATATGTTTGTAAAACATGTATGCCCCCTATCAGCAGCCAATTATTCATGTGATAAGGTAATTATGCATGACTTCTGACCCAGTGATCAAACAATTAATAAGGGTTATCAAGTATCTACTGGTCATGACCTTGACCTTTGACCCCTTGACCCAAAACTCAATAGGGGTCATCTGCTGGTCAAGACAAATCATCATACAAAGTTTGAAGTTCCTAGGCCTAAGCGTTTTTACTTAATTGATCAGAAACCGTTTTTACTTACAAGGTCAATGTGACCTTGACCTTTGACCCCTTGACCCCAAAATCAATAGGGGTCATTTGCTGGTCATGACTAATCACCATGCCAAGTTTGAAGTTCCTAGGCCTAAGGGTTCTTTTATTAATGATCTGAAACCTTTTTAACATACAAGGTCAATGTGACCTTGACCTTTGACCCCAAAATCAATAGGGGTCATCTGCTGATCATGACCAATCACTATGCCAAGTTTGAAGTTCCTAGGCCCAAGTGTTCTTTAGTTATTGATCAGGAACCGTTTTTACTTACAAGGTCAATGGGACCTTGACCTTTGACCCCTTGATCCCAAAATCGAAAGGGGTAATCTGCTGGTCATGAAAAATCACCATACCAAGTTTGAAGTTCCTAGGCCTAAGCGTTCTTAAGTTATTGATCAGAAACCGTTTTTACTTACAAGGTCGATGTGACCTTGACCTTTGACCCCTTGACCCAAAACTCAATAGGGGTCATCTGCTGGTCACAACCAATCATCATACAAAGTTTGAAGTTCCTAGGCCTAAGCGTTTTTAGTTAATTGATCAGAAACCGTTTTTACCTACAAGGTCAATGTTACATGACCTTTGACCCCTTGACCCTAAAAACAATAGGTCATCTGCTGGTCATGACCAATCACCATACCAAGTTTGAAGTTCCTAGGCCTAAGGGTTCTTAAGTTATTGATCGGAAAGCATTTTTACCTACAAGGTCAATGTGACCTTTCCCTTTGACCCCTTAACCCCAAAATCAGTAGGGGTCATCTGCTGGTCATGACCAATCACCATACCAAGTTTGAAGTTCCTAGGCCTAAGGGTTCTTTAGTTATTGATCGGAAACTGCTTTTACCTAAGAGGTCAATGTGACCTTGACCTTTGACCCCTTGACCCCAAAATCAATAGGGGTCATCTACTGATCATGACCAATCACCATATCAAGTTTGTAGTCCTTAGGCCTAAGGGTTCTTTCGTTATTGATCGGAAACCGTTTTTACCTACAAGGTCAATGTGACCTTGACCTTTAACCCTTAACTCCAAAATCAATAGGGGTCATCTACTGATCATGACCAATCACCATACCAAGTTTGAAGTTCCTAGGCCTAAGGGTTCTTTTGTTATTGATCGGAAACCGTTTTTACCCAAGAGGTCAATGTGACCTTGACCTTTGACCCCTTGACCCCAAAATCGTTAGGGGTCATCTACTGATCATGACAAATCACCATACCAAGTTTGAAGTTCCTAGGCCTTAGGGTTCTTTACTTATTGATCGGAAACCGTTTTTGCTTACAAGGTCAATGTGACCTTGACCTTTGACCCCTTGACCCCAAAATCAATAGGGGTCATCTACTGATCATGACAAATCACCATACCAAGTTTGAAGTTCCTAGGCCTTAAGGTTCTTTAGTTATTGATCGGAAACCGTTTTTGCTTACAAGGTCAATGTGACCTTGACCTTTGATCCCTTGACCCCAAAATCAATAGGGGTCATCTACTGATCATGACAAATCACCATACCAAGTTTGAAGTTCCTAGGCCTTAAGGTTCTTTAGTTATTGATCGGAAACCGTTTTTGCTTACAAGGTCAATGTGACCTTGACCTTTGACCCCTTGACCCCAAAATCAATAGGGGTCATCTACTTGTCATGACCAATCACCATACCAAGTTTGAAGTTCCTAGGCCTAAGGGTTCTTTAGTTATCACTCGGAAACCATTTGGTCTACGGACCGACGGACCGACAGACCGACGGACCGACGGACCGACAAGTGCAAAGCAATATACCCCCTTTTTTTCAAAAGGGGGCATAATAACAAAAACAAGGTTAACCTCAGATACACAACTACACATGTTGACCAAGATTTTTGTAAATTTTTCAAACTACAGGTCAAATACTTTTTGGGCTACGTATGACACAAGCTAAAAATTCTAAAGCTTTACTAAGTCAAAGGCAATATCTCTAAGAATACTGAATTAATGCCTAGGTCACAAATAAAATGGGCGCCGTCCGATTAAAAGATTTTTATAAAATCGGCAGATTTTTTGATGTCGTGGACGCCGGGCGATTTTAAATCTGATACCTTGCGTGGTCATGAATGAAACAGTCCTCGGGCGATTTTTGCCGAGTAGATTTTACAGAAAGAATGAACGAATCAGGCGGTCGCTGCCCGATGTCCGTACGGAGCCTGTGCGATTTAAAAGTGAATCGAAAGGTTGCCGCGCGGGCGCCGGGCGACAATGACTTTACATTTAATGACATCTTCGATGAATCAGCTAGTTGTAATTATGCCAGCAAAGAAGTCAGCTGCCAAATCTAAGGGAAAGGCCAAGGAGTTGGTCCGTGTTGTTGACAACGAGTCACCAACGACCAGTATCGAGGCCGTAGAAGGCGAAAATTAATCAGACATTCGCATAAACATTGAAGAAAAAATTCATGTTTACTAGTATTCAAAAGAAATTCACAAATATATTTTTGAGGTAATTACAACTTCTTCAAGCTGAAATTACAACAGATACAAGCAGCCCGGTCGCCGGATGACAAAACGATGACCGCCCGGTGCCTGTGCATGAATTGTCCGGGTACCGGGCGATAATCGTTTGACTACTTGTCTCTATTCTGGCACAGGGCGGGGCCCGGCCGATGTCCGCCCGGACGCTTTTTAAATTGGACGCTGTTTTAGTAGAACAAAAAATCGCCCGATCAAAAAAAATTATCGCCCGGGCGGCGACCGAACGATGATATTTATACTCAATGACCCCAAAAATTATCGCCCGGCCGCCGTTAGCTTTTAAGTATTACTTAAAACTCGAAGGCGCCCGCCCGATGAGCAAAATTTTCAGCTGCTGCCATCCGATACTCACTGCCGCCGGATGGACGCTGGCCGATATTGCGATTTTTTGGAGAAACAGACGCCGCCCGGCGGCATTTTCTTATTTGTGACCTAGGCTTAATTCACAAGCAAACCCCCAGGTGCATAACCACACATGCTTACCAACATTCCTGGAAAGGTTCTTGACTGTAGCTCAAATACTGTTTCAGCTACGCTCAACACAAATTGAAATTTTTACCAAGTCAAGAGCAATAACTCTAACAAAACTAAATTTATCCACAGGCAAATTCTAAGGTGCACAACTTCACATGCTGATCCAACATTCCAGTAAAGTTTGTAGACTCTAACCCTTACTTAGAGCTACATGTGACAACATTTTGGAATGGATGGACAGATGCAACACATGGACAACAGTAAATCTAAATTGCCCCTCGCCCCAAACCCTTGAGTGGGGGCATGAAAATCAATAGTATGCAAAGTTTTGACTACTATCAAATTTGTATATTCCAAAAAAGCCAATATGCAATACTTTAACTGGTGTCACTGTCTTTAGAGCAGCACGCCTCCAGATTCATGCTAATTTTCATGAAAAATTTGATAATGTATTAAAAAGTAAAATATTGTGAAGTGAAAAAAGAAAATATTTTTTGCATTGCAAACAGCACTTACAATCCATGTAAATTACCAAAACAGGTCAAAATATGTAAAAATAGCCCGTACTGCATTAGTAACGCAGTAGATAAACTAACGCTGTAGAAATATGCTGAAAAAAACTGTTAAATTGGTCATAAATCTCACATAACATGAAAAATTTTACTTTTATCGTGAATCATTTTACTTTCGTTAAAATCTCAGTACTTTTTTCTCAAGTTTGATTTCTTTAAATATTTTGGTTCATCTGGAGGCATGCAGTTTTAATTATGAACTAAAATTTCTCAGACATTAATGATACTGTACAATCGATACTCATATTTACATTGCCTTCTGAGAGATTAAAATTCTTTTATTTGACTTACTTCTGCATGGATTTGTCCTTGTTGATAGCATTAAGAGCTTCTGAAAACTTCTCTAGGTTAATAAAGCAGACAATCTTGCATTGGAAAGCTGCCACCTCACTTGCATCTTCCTGTAAAACTGTTTTACAAAATTACGTTACGTGTTTATGTTAGTGTATCAAGAAAATGTCCTGTGAAGTTGGGATGTATTTGTACATACAATGTATATACATTTATCAAACCTTCATTCACTACAAGTAAGTCTTGAACCCTGATCACTCATTGTACCTCGCCTCACTCAAACTCACCCTCAGATTCGCGCCTACGAGCAATGGATTCATTTCCCGGGCTGTTGTGAAAACAATTGGCCAGACAATTAAAAAAAACTTTTATCACTATTTCACGTTTGTATTAAACTTTCAAATGAGACCGAACCCAAGTCTCTAGCCCTTCCCATTCATGAAATATCTATCAGGAAACGAGCAAATTCGTGCTAGAAATCCTTGGTAGACAGAATTGCGGCACAACCATTCGGTACGTAAACATAGACTAATACATGTTTGTCAGCTGAGTACGGGTCAAAATCACTTGAATTTACTAAATAATATTACTAAATACATTAAGTACCACTCACCACATTATGGACCACTCACAACCGTCAGTAGCATCTGATACACGCAAAATTCGAATTTCAAACCTTTCCACGGTCTTTAGATTCCTTTTTTTTAAATTATCTGGCCAATTGTTTTCACAAAGGCCCGGGAAATGAATCCCTTGCTCATAGGTTCGAATCTGGAGTTTCCGGCCTTCTCTTAACTTATAGTATAATTTTAAAGGGTGTCATTATTTACATTTTTTTTGGTCTTTGACACTTTTAAGATGAACACAGGTTTTATTATCAATCTGGTCATATTTTTTCTTCCCACGTCCGATACTCGTCACGTGCCTGTGTCAAAAGCCCGATCAGGCATTTTCACCAGCCTGCTGAATAATGTGATAGGCTACTCAATCCAATCAGGTGATTGATAAAAAAAATGCTTAAGTTTTCGAATTGAATGCTTCACTACCATATGGTTAACAGGTTAAGTCCTGAACTGTACAGTATAAAGTGATTTCCGTTTCTTTACTGTAAAATAATTTTAAATGTTAAATAATTTATCACACATGACATATTGCTTACTTCTATTTGCACATTTCAAAGCTCTTTCGTACTCCTGGTTCTGACCAAAACGGTTTAAATCGGCATATAAGCTCGTTTTAGAAACAGCTGACATGTTGGCTATTTGGTTTGCTTGATTGATAGGAGTAGAACATAATTTTGGCTGCCTTCGATTGCCTAACCCGTGTAAGTAGTGTCGATACCGGAAAAGCTCATATGCGCATGCGTACCTTTAATAGCAATCGAACAAGCACGAGTTGATCGGGTTGTAAACAAATATGGCTGCGCCCAGGGAATTATTTGCGTTATTAGAATTTCTAAGGCAGTACTTTGTTGAATCTGGACAAAAAGAACTGGTTATTCAAAGAAATCGGACGCTAACAATGCTACATGCCTGTATATCTGTTTATCTTTGTTCTCCAAGGGATGCCGTGCCTAAGGTGGATTTTTTTGCAGAGGATATTGTTCCAGCTATGTCTGCATTTGACTTTAAAAGCCATTTTAGAATTGAAAGAATGACTTATGAGATTATTTTGGAAAGGATCCGTCCACATCTGGTCTTTAATCACATTGGAGGAAAGGCTCCAGTAACCCCAGAAAAACAGCTTTTGTTATTTCTGTGGTACATGGCCAATCAGGAATCAATGAGAGAATTGTGTGTGCTGTTCAAGGTTTCAATATCTACCGTCCATGCAATAATAACTAGAGTCAGCAAAATTATCTACAGGGTGCTTAAAACGGTAAACAACTTTTTTTGCTAGATAGTTTTTATATCATAGTAAAAATCAAGGCATTAGCAATCATTTCCTTGTCATTGGCACCAGAGACATAGATGATGTTATCTGTCTCTGTTGGCAATTATATGAAAAAAAATACTGTAATTGTTGAAAGATCTTTATTATGTTGTTGATACTAAAAGCTGTATGAGAATCCCTTCTATTATAAGACGATTTATAATAATCAAGTAAATTATATTCCTTTCTTTCAAGGAGTTGTAGTTAATACTTGCTAACTTGAGACTCAATTTACAGTGATATATTTTACAACTTTATCTCATGAAATTATATTTAAGGTTATACAATGGCCTGACGAGAACAGACAAGTGGAAATCGAAAGAGAATTCCAACTTCAAAGTGGAATACCACATATTGTTGGCATCATTGATGGTACCCACATTCAGCTTTCACATGTTCCAAATGGGGATCAGGATTATGTCAATAGAAAGTCATATCCTTCAGTTCAGTTGCAGGTGAGAATCTGCTGCAATAGTTACCCTTATTATGCTGAATTTTGTAAATGGACTATTTATTAATTTTTCCTTTGTTATTGTGACGGTTAGGAGCATATCAAAATCTATTACATAGTACATTGTGTGCATACATGTGCATGCATGTCTCGCTTTATACTGATTGCTAAACTTTTTTTGTTGTACTGAATACCATATGTTAGTTGGTACACAGATAAGGTAACTTAAGTGTAGAATCAAAATAATCATCAATGTTCTGAACAATAAATTAACATCAAAAATATATACTACACAGGCCAATCATACCTTATGGGATGATTTTGAGAAGTCTTTATAAGTTTTAGTTTATATTTTTCATTTTGGCAAATATTTGTCTCATTTATTTCCTTTCAGTTGGTTGTTGATCATGAAATGCTCATCACAAGTGCTCAAACCGGTTGGCCAGGATGCACGCACGATGCAAGGGTACTACGTAATTCAGGTATCTATGACAAAGCAAATGCTGGCAACCTTGTAAATCCTGAGAGGCATATAATTGGAGATTCTGCATATCCTTTACGCACATGGCTGGTGACACCTTACCGAGACAATGGTCATTTAACTGGCAGACAGAAAAGATTCAATCGAATGCTCTCCTCCTGTAGACAAAATGTGGAAAGAGCCATTGGTCATTTAAAAGGACGTTTTCGCCGATTACGAGAAATATCATTATATACCATGGAAGGTGTTTGTTACTTTATAATGGCTGCCTGCGCACTTCATAATCTTTGTATCATAAATCATGATGACATTGATCAGTTTCTAGACAATGCGAACGATTTGAATGGAAACCCCAATCGGTATCCTAATGTTTTCAGAAATGCAATTGGAGGTGATGCTAAACGACAAAGACTTCTTCAGTTGATACCTTAAACGTAATTAGTGTTTGACGGAAGTCACTCTTGTGCAATTAATTTGAAAAGTGCTCCCACTGAACAGTAACCTATTCTTCAAGACTACTGTAGAATAAATGCAGAGGATGGAAACAGTTGAATGTTCCATCTTGTATAACTTTCACTTGTTATATGAATTTGTTTTATATTAATTCTCAACTTAAAGGTTCTACTCATTAAATTTCCTGAAGTTTATTACTAAGTATTTAAATTTTTCCTCACCACAATAAAATTGTGATGCTTCCCATTCAAGATATCTTTCCTATGACTTGAAAGTGCTCAAACGTTCTAGAATCACATAAAAAACTATCCGTAAGACTTTTCTCAATGCTCAAGTCTAATTGAAAGCTTTGTAGAAAAGTATAGAACAGGCATTATACAATCGAATATATAATCAGAGTTCTGTTGATTGTTTCCAAAATTAAACACCTCGACAGTAACATATAAATTTCATATTGAAAAGAAAGTTCTATGTTGTAAGGGGGCAAAACTGATATTCATCTCAAAAGCTGAACTAATTAAGGAGAAGAGATAAACAATAAGAAAGTTTAATGATTTTAATCAACATAAATTATAAAATGTCAACTGCTACTGCAGTGTGATAGTATAACACTTAACTAAAATGAGCAACTTTTACTCGATACACAACAAAATTAATACATGTAATACTCAAAATGAATAAATCTTGACTAGATCTGCAATAAAATAAATAATACACAAAATGAACAAATCTTTACTTGTGCAATAAAATAAATAATACACAAAATGAACAAATCTTGACTAGATCTGCAATAAATAAATAATACACAAAATGAACAAATCTTTACTTGTGCAATAAAATAAATAATACTCAAAATGAACAAATCTTGACTAGATCTGCAATAAAATAAATAATACACAAAATGAACAAATCTTGACTAGATCTGCAATAAAATTAATTATACAAAAAATGAATAAATCTTGACTAGATCTGCAATAAAATAAATAATACACAAAATGAACAAATCTTTACTTGTGCAATAAAATAAATAATACACAAAATGAACAAGTCTTTACTTGTGCAATAAAATAAATTATACACAAAATAAACAAGTCTTTACTTGTGCAATAAAATAAATTATACACAAAATAAACAAGTAACTGGTGTTGTTCACAACACACGTCCCCTACTGGTGCTACCTTGATTCAATTTGGAATAGTATTATTATACCTTTTCACTCAATTTTGTTTCTAGTTTGTGTAATTGCCCCTATGTTTCATATACAACACCATCAAATTTCATTTACCCTATTGCAGTATCAAGAATTTGCAACATCTGCTTTAATTTTACACAATCATTGAGACTGATATTGTTACTCCGGATAAAATAAATCAACATCACATCACCCAGAGAACTCTTTAAATCAAAATATTTTTAGGATTATCTCCCTTGCTGGTATGTGTTCCCATGTTCATAGTGAAGAAGTATTCCGAGTCTGAAGAGAATATCTCTCATAATAGTTCTATAAGAGACAAATTCTTGAAATTCAGTGAATTTTCTAAGTCGAAAAAGGAGTATGTGTTCCTCTTTGAACATTTATTCCAAGTAAATACCTTTGATAGTTTTTGAGTAATGGACACCATAGAAAAATTTAACCAACGCATACACTGATGCAGACGACCACCAACCTATGATATCTAGACTTTTTCTTTGAAAAATAGAGCTAAAAATGACCCAACATTTCTAAAAAAATATCTCAATTAGATCACATTCACACAACAAAAAGTGCATGTAATTTCTAAAAAATCTGTGAGCACGTACAGGCCAAGGTCTATTAATCAAACTAGCACCATAGAAACACTGACAGTATAACACTGACAGCAATACAATTAGGTTGGCTATGCCTAATCAAAAAGTGTAATTTAAGTTACATGTGAACCAAAGTTTGTTTGCTGGAAGCGGGTACAAGCTTTTAAGAAAAAAACTTGATTGTACAAAATGTATAGTTTCAGCTGACCTTATCAGTAAGGCAATGTGAACAACACAAACATTTGTTTTGCCATTGCATAATGTGAAAGTACATAAACTAGTCTTGGAACACTGGTAATTACAATTCTTACATATATACGGGTACATTACATATGAAAGCAAAACATGAAACTTATCAAACATGATGCAATTTTATGGGTGTCAACTTGACACTTATTTTAATGCACAGGTGAGCTAAAAAAAACAAGAGGGCCATGATGGCCCTGAGGTCGCTCACCTGTATATAGCCCCCCCCCCCCCCCCCGGGCCAATTTTTACCCAAGGGCTTTTATTTGTTTATTTGAACAGACTTGGTAGACACCCATAAGAGGATGTTTCATGCTAAACATCTAAGTTCTAGCTCATTGGGTTTTTTAAAAGATACATAGAGCTAAAAACAATGACAGCCCTGGGGCAGGGCCAGTTTTGACCCGCGGGCTTTTATTTGAACAAACTTTGTAGATATTTACTTAAAGATGTTTCATGCTTAATATCTAAACTCTAGCTATTTGGGTTTTTTCAAAGAAGATTTTTAAGTTTTTGCTATACACATATAAGGAAAATCAATGACTGCCCCCCCCCCCCCCGGGCGGGGCCAGTTTTGACCCCAGGGCTTTTATTTGAACATACTTGGTAGACACCCATTAGAACATGTTTCATGCTAAATATCTTAGCTCTAGCTTATTGAGTTCTTTAAAAGAAGAATTTTTAAGTTTTTACTTTATGCATATAGGGAAAATCAATGACCCCCTGGGGCGGGGCCAATTTTGACCCCAGGGCTTTTATTTGAACAAACTTGGTAGACACTCATTACAAGATGTTTCATGCTAAATATCTTAGCTCTAGCTCTTTGGGTTCTTTAAAAGAAGATTTTTTAAGTTTTTACTATATGCATATAGGGAAAATCAATGACCCCCTTAGGGGGGGCCAATTTTGACCCCAGGGCTTTTATTTGAACAAACTTGGTAGACACTCACTAGAAGATGTTTCATGCCAAATATCTAAGCTCTAGCTCTTACGGTTCTTTAAAAGAAGATTTTTTAAGTTTTTACTATATGCATATTGGGAAAATCAATGACCCCCCAGGCGGGGCCAATTTTGACCCCAGGACTTTTATTTGAACAAACTTGGTAGACACTCACTAGAAGATGTTTCATGCCAAATATCTAAGCTCTAGCTCTTTGGGTTCTTTAAAAGAAGATTTTTTAAGTTTTTACTATATGCATATAGGGAAAATCAATGACCCCCTGGGGCGGGGCCAATTTTGACCCCAGGGCTTTTATTTGAACAAACTTGGTAGACACTCACTAGAAGATGTTTCATGCCAAATATCTAAGCTCTAGCTCTTAGGGTTGTTTAAAAGAAGATATTTAAAGATTTTTCTTTCGGTTGCCATGGCAACCAGAGTTCTGCAAGGAATTAAATTCTTTGAACAATTTTTAAAGGTGACCACCAAAGAAACATTCCTGTGAAGTTTGGATGAAATTGGCTCAGTGGTTTATGAGGAGATGTCATTTAAAGCAAAAGTTAACGGACGGACGACGGACGGACGCCGGACGAAAAGCGATCACAAAAGCTCACCCTGTCACTTTGTGACAGGTGAGCTAACAAAAGTATATTCTAAATTTAATCACAGCAAAAACATTTTATACAAAAAAATAAAACGAAACAAATATCAAACAGACTTCCAACATCTGGTTTACAGTCGCATTTATCTTTTATTGGAATCACCAAAATGGAATGACACAAAAAATACATTTCAGGTATTAAAAACAGGCCTATATGTCAGCAACGTATCCCATTTCTTAGATGCTTCTCAGTTATTTCCACTTAAGATCTGGAGCACCAACTCTAGGAAAAACATAAAAGCATCTTGCAAACTTAAGGTAGAGCGCGGGGATATAGTCCAGTATTAAATGACTAAAGTTAATGTCACTGTATCTGTCTACAATATCTGCCCACATAAGAGAACTACCACATGGTTCCAGATCTACAGACTTAAGTAAAGAGCAGTTTAGTAAAACTGCTTCCAGTATGTATGGTTCAACAGACTGGCCTAAGTCAACTGCCCGTAAAGCTTGTAGTTGTGGCAGTTTCCTGCTTATTTCAAACAAACAGACTAAATTTACCTTGAATCCACTAATGTCAAGTCCTATAAGATTTGTGTGATATAAAACTTTTAACAAATCAAAACCATCAAATCTAGTGTAATAGCCATGAATGACTAAAATTTTAAGTTTTGTCAACCTAGAAATGAAGACCAAACTACTACATAATGCACCTTGCAAGTACAGAGCTTGTAAATTGGTAGCAAGCTGAAGATATCTTTCAGCATTTCTTAACCTGCTACTTAAATTTAGTGAAATATTTGTGAAAAATTGCCAGATATACTTTGTTACACACAGATGATAAAATCGTTTGCTTACAAACTGCAACCTTATCAAGTCTGTCACATTCAAAAATACAAGAATGTGCAATAAAATGTCATTTGGAAGTGTATCCAAGTAGCACCCTGACAACTGCACCTGAAAAAGAAATAGGCTTGTGACAGGTTATTGGGTTTCACTACAGACTACCAAGGAAATTTTAACTCTCTCAATTCAGTCCAGAACTGCTTTTCTCCTGAAATTCCTTTAACTACACTGAACAAATACAAGAGCATTACCTTACATATGAAAACACTGTTTTTTTTTCTTCTCAGAATAAAAATTGGAAATCTTTCTGCAGTAATTATTTTCAACTAAGAATGTCTAAACACTATATGCATCTAAGCAATAGCTATTAAGGTTAAATATTTTAATTGATACAATTTATAACTAGAAATGTGTCCATAGGACACGGATGCCCCCACACGCCACTGTTCTGTCCAATCTTATGACTCTAGGTCAAATATTTTTTGGACTACATGTGCCACAAGTTGAAAACTAAAAATCAACAAAGGGCCATCATTCTGTTAAATTTGGTCGCAGCAAAAAATTCCTTCCTTTACTACCATCTACACATTAAGGTTGTTCATCCCTAGAAGTTTAAGCAAAATCTGCCATCCGGTTTAAGAGGAGTTGCGTTCACAAGAATTCGGGACGTACGGACGGACGGACAAGTGCAACGCTATATGCTCCCACTCTGTGGGGGCATAAAAAAAACCCTATGTTGAAAAAAAAAATCAAATTGCCAGAAAAAGTAATCTCTTCTTGCCAATACTGTTTACAAAAATCTTTAAAAGTAACCTAAAAATATCTGAGAATGGCCTTAGTGACCATAACATGATTAAGTTATGTCTACTTTGAGTCAAGTGACTTTTCAAATAAGTCCAAAAATCTGTCAAATCTTTTCATTTTCTGTTCCTCTTGTTTTTTTCACAAATTCATTGAAATCCTCATTTTTCTTTTCAATACATTCCAAAAGCTTGACAACTTTGTTTCGTGGAGAGTTGACAGTTTTTTGATGTCACTTTTCGTTTATTGACATTTTCCTTGCTTTGAACTACTTTTGGTACAGACCCATTTGAATTACAAGGAACACAATTTACCTCATTTTCAACATTCACTTCTGAAGCTGCACTCTCTGTGTTTGATGTGTCGAGCACAAAAACTGGGTTTTGTTTTGAAGCTTTAGTGCCATACAATTGACTGAAAATGTCAAAAAATATTTACAGGTGTTTCTACAATTTCCAGTTTTACCATTTAAATCTACAATTTTCCATGTACTTTCTTTTAAGTTTTTTCCATTTATCCTTTATTTGCTGTGCAGAAACCTGCACTCCTTCCTTTTTCCATTTCTGTCTGAATCTGGTTCCAAAGAAACATTATGAGACTTGGTTTGGTTGAATTGTCATCAAGTTGATGCTCTTTTATCTATTAGTAACCCTTTCCTCACTTTCTTTTCCACTGATGGACTTGACTCTGGTTGCTTTTTACATTGGCTTTCTTCACTGCTGGTGTCACAGACTGTAGCTGAAAATAAGTTATTTATCATTTATCATTTTGTCAATTGTATTTAACAGTAACTTAACAGCCATTTAAAATACTGGCCTATTACCATACCCAATTTACTCTGCGGCTTCTAGGCCTACACACCAGTCTGTAGTGGAACAGACAAGTAACAAAAATAAAAAAAATCCTGGAGGGTCTAGCATCTACTTTGAAAATATAATAGTTGTGAAAAGGCCAGCATATTACTTGGCTACTCATTACTATTCCTAGAATTAAACCAGAACCAGGCAACACAATCCCTTAAAACTGTGTACATTTCATGCATGAAAAGTTGGTCTGTGGAACTCCTTGAACATATGACCCTTAAAAGATCAATCAATAGTCTTAATCACTCCATCATGGATGGCAGTAAAATATGAATTGTAAAGGTATAATTCCCAGAAAGTTGTACAAAATATATAATATTTATTCTGCAATACCTGAGAGTGTGGGAGTGGGACTAACTGGCTGGTAGTGGCCCTACTTCTGGCACAATAATTGACACAACCAAACTCTCTGAAAAATGAAAAATAATAATTAAGTAGAAGCATGTTTGTCTTGTGATGTGAGGAACTTAGATTATACTATGGTACAAGTGTCAAAAGTCAGTTGAACTTTTTTTCACATTCAGGAATAGACAGGGAGTTCTCTTAAAACATGTCAGTTTTTACACAGTAATATTCATTTACAACTCTATTGTCACATAACAGTCTATCTAATGATGTCTGTGATATATGCCCAGTTAGCTCAGTTGGTTTAAAATAATAGAGAATAAAACTTGCAAGCAGAAGGTTGCCAGTTCGAGTGCCTTGCTAGGCGACACATTTTCTTTCTCCTGTTACATTGGTGCCATACGAGTGATTAGTACCTGGCTTTGAAATCCGCATTGATGAAGCAATGGCTGATTAGCCTAAGGGTGTCTTTGGTGGTACAATTACCCTTGTTTAATTACCTGTAAATAACATAATTAAAAAAAAACACTAAAAACCTGAAGGGAGAAATGTAATAGTGGCACATTTATGTGCAAATAATGTCTGTGATACATGTCCGGTTAGCCCCTTACCTGCAAGCAAGAGGTTGGGATACATTTTCCTTTCCTGTTACACATCAATTTTTGTGTATTTTTAACAAAAACACATTTAACAAGTAAATATGCCAAATAATGTCCATAACTGTAAGCTTATTAAAATTTTACCTCCAGCAGGTCGTGCGTTTTCATTGTAGGCCTTCATGATTTTCAAAGCCAGCTCTTGATCTGAAACAAAGCATTTGACAGGCATTTTTTTACACAATTTACTTCAACCCGTGTTTAAAAATTTGGTCATTATGCTTATTCTAATAGTTTTAATGATCAAATGATGAATAAAAGTAACATTCAAATTTGAACAAGTGTCATTTTAAGTCTTCAGGTAAAGCAGACCCCCGATAGTTTCAGTTACATATATCACCGCCTTAGTTCGGTATTACAAGTCATGTAGGGAATACGACTTACATACAGTAGAATGTATACTTTATGATAATCAATTTACATCAGATGTAACCAGGGATCAAACTTGGCAACCAGACGTATTCATTTCAAAGTAATAGAATTACTTTCCTGTTTTGCACACACTATATGTATGTACAACATTTGATTTTCCTATGTAGTACAGATTGGTGATTACTAGTATTACAAACATGTATTAATTAGGACAAGAAAAAAACATCTTGTGGTTAGGGTTACATGCCCATTTGAAATAGGTAGGGTAGGTAGGTTTTTTTTTAAATCATTCAAGATGCTTACAAAGGTATTCATACTGACATATCTAAATGCCATAATTTAACCCAGTTATAGTGATTATTCTAGACTTGAAAAAGGGGCAGGGAGGCATCAAAAAGGGGCAGGGTGGAACATGTGTCAATACAGATAGTTTATGACCGTTATGATAATCATGGTCAGATAACTCATATCTTATCAGTAGATTAATTACCTCCCTTTATCTCAACACTTTCTGGTTACTTGGTTCAGTGTGGTGTTTATTTTCTATATTAATGGTGATAGTGTCAATAGTGTGCATCAGCTTCTTATGATTCACAGAAATGATAAATACCTAGACATTGAGAGAGAACTGTTAAAAAGTGGCACAGCTTAAAACCAAGACAGATAAACTAAAGAACTGTTTTGTGACTGAAATAAAAGCTGCATGTACCTCAAGAAGGTGAATAGTTCTGTATGCCACCCCTGGCAAAAAAGTGATTTTCTCATGACTGTCCTCTGTCCTATTTTTATAGATTTAAAGCGCATGGAAATTATATTTGAATGAAAGAATTGCACTGTCTGTATATATTTGTATCAATGACTTTATTGCAGGGCTACATTTACATTGTCACATTTTATGTAAATTTTAAGGTTTCATGTTAAAAACTTTCATAACTTGGAATTTGTTTCATTATTTGAATCTGTACTTTGAGCAGTGATAATTGGTTCGTTACTTTAGGTCACTCTGTAAAATATAGAAAGACTGGTTAATTTTCTAATTAAATTTGGGTTATAAATCAATTTCAAGTTTTTGAAATTACTTCAGTCATCTTTATATTTTCACAATAACAGTCACATTTAGCTAAAAAAAATTACCATGTACTGTACTCTGTACAGAGATGTTCAAAGAAAAACCAACGATTTTATCTTTATAAAGTAAATCTAATTTCGAATTGATTGAAATTGATTACAAATTGTCATTATCTTGCAATTTATAATTATATTTCACATATGATTTCACAGGTAACTAATAGATTCTAACTGTAGTTGTTACTGTACTATTTCATAAAAAAAAATCTCCCGACTTTCAACCGCAGAAAAACGGTTTAATCTGTAGATTAATAATTCATTCAATTCATTAAAATGTCTTACAGCTAGAGACAAATATTCGCTTACTCATAATTGTCTTTGTTTATTTTCTGTAAAATTACCGTAAACGATTAGTCTAAATAGTCTATGTAACGAACGGCTTTGCAGTACGGCAGTACAGGGACCGTACTTCAGTCCAGGGCCGTACTGCTAGTGTAGTGGCTTCGTACACAAATTATTTCATTCACCTCCTTTTTATATAAATGTTGAATTGCAAGGGAGAAACACATTTAAATCGATTCTTAGCAAATGTAAATAACTTTTATCGTACCTTTCTTTAGCTCCAAAAAGAGGAAATACTGTGGTTTGTTTTTGCGAATTTTCGCACGCTCTTTTTCAATTTCTGCAAATTTCCTTTTTCGCAGACGGCAATTTGTTTTCTCAAATGAACAACTAATTAATGAAACCATATAACCCATCCTTATGACTTTAAAGATTCTTTACGCAATTATAGAGATTAATATGTGTAAATAATTAATTGTAATTACCTGTACTTGTAAGTTGTACAGTATACGAATTTTTACCGACATACGCGACATTGGTGAACAAACAAATAAGCGAATGCATTACAATTCGATTGTCTCCGTAAATCATTGCCATTTTAATCAGTTAATGACCACGGATTATCAATCAGTCGGTAATGTTCCTTACAAATCATTTCAAACTGTTGCAAACATAGCTAATTTGATCGAAACCACTTCACACGGGGCCGCTTCACACGGCCCACTTCACATCGGTCAGTCAATTGTTATCGCCGTGGGGCACCAGGTTTTGTATATTGGAACGTGTCAACATCGTAATCTTATCTTTATAGATAAGTGATTGACAGGTTTTTTACGTAGATCTATCTTATACATATTGATGGGTACAGGTAAAAGAGGGCAGCGGGGCGCATTTCAGTATTACGGGCGGTGTTTTTAGAGGCAAAAGGGCGGACCTAAAAAGGGGCAGGGCGGAGCGCCCTGTCATTCCGCGCTAGAATAATCACTACCAGTTATAGTACTTTATTTCCATGATGATATACAGCAATGTATCTTTATATCAATAAAATTTTTATATATAGTATATGTTGCATCATTTCAAATGCATGTCTACAGATGAAAAATAAACATAAAAAATTTAGGGTCGGAAGGTTTTGCCAGGTAGACTAGTTGTAACATGATACTGATTATATCAATGTGTACATGCGCATGCTTAGAAAGTAGTACAACAGGTCTTGTTAGGAGTTAATCTCCTGTATTTAACTTGAAGTCATAGAACACACTTGTGTCTCTTATTTCTCACTAGAGTTATATGTTATATACTTGTTAAAACTCATATACAAAACCACATAATATTACAGTAGTGTCAAGTTACCCTAACCACAACATTTTTAGGCCTTACCTCCATTTGAAATTTGCTGAACAAGTGGTTCCTCTAAAGCTACACAGTCTTGCTTCCCATTTTCCATCACCATGAACACCCTCTTGTACCTAATAAAATTAACATCAAGGAAATATTACTTTAAATCATATCTACTTATTTATGTAAGTCTGTCGCAACATTTGATCAAATTGCTTTGAAAAATATAGCGAATTAATTAAACAGGGAAGTCAAAGACCGGGCATCCTGGACTGACTTGCCCGGGTATAGACATAGACTAAGTGTATTTTAAAAGAAACATAAATTTAATGAAAAAATATACTGTATATACCCATCAGAAAATTTTTCAATGTTCATTTTGCCATTTCATGGGGGGCGCCATATTGGATTGAAATCTCTGACACAAAGTCAAACAATATTCAGTGATCAAGTTTTTAAATTCTAGCTTTGAAAAAAAATATAATATGCATTTCTATCGTCAATTATTTGTACTAAAAATACAAGAAAACTCATATTTTTGTTATTGTATGACTTCCCCATTCCATTGGCTTTACCTAAATTCATATTATTTAGTACGAATAATTTTGATGACGAACTGTTTCTTAATTTACTTAACATGCGGTTGGCATTCAATACCTTTGGGCGGAGGAAATAATGCTGAATTACTTTAACTATTTATATAAATAAAGTAAAGATAAATTCAAAGGCTATATTAGATTCTATAAACAAACAAAAGCAGAAAAACATATAAAAAATCCTCTCACTTACTCCTTTCCAACGTTGTTGGCCGCCATTTTTAACACTTCTGACCCAGCTGATAGGCAGTGTCCAACCCGCGTTACTCGGTTTACGCAAAACTGATGACGTATTACTCAACTCTACCTTGTTCGATTGTTACCCGTGTCGAAAGTGTTAAACCCGCGTTAGCAATCGAAGGCAGCCTTTATGTTCGCTTGATACGCAGTATGACTAAATTACGAAAATGACTATTTTGGACGAAAGGGAGCTAGAAGAAGCGGAATTTGGAGGTGACGTACCATGGAGGTCACAGGGGGCCCACACAGTGTTTGGTGGTATATAATGCTTGATAGTGACCTTAAAATGAGATTTTAGTCATAACCTTATAATATGTGTATAAATATAGTTATATATATTATAAGGTTATGACTAAAATCTCATTTTAAGGTCACTATCAAGCAGTTTATACCATCCAAACACTGTGTGGGCCCCCGTAATGGAGGGTACGTACCATTGCATAAATGTACCATTTTTGGAGGTTACGTACCACTATAGAAATATATAATAAAGTGATAATAAGGGATAAGGTGTGAAACTATCAGGTTTATTGTTCAAATTCGCGCATTAATTGTATTTTGTAATGAGATTAAATATGTATGAATATATAAGAATAAACAACAAACCACAATTAACGATAATAAACAAGTTTAATTTACAACACAAAACTGAAACGAACAAACGATGAAAATAATTAATAAGTGTTCCAATGAAAAAGGACAAATTTCAATATGCTGGGGGTTATGTCAATGCATAGAACTATGAGACTGAAAATGTTTAAGCTGTAGAGCTTCTGTATGGTATTCCAAAGGTTCTGGGTTTTTTGGTAGTGCTGAGGTATGGTATTCTGAGTGTCTCTGGTTTGAGTTTTAGTCCGGCTGCATTTTATTTTCTCACACTTTGATATTGATAAATATTTTCAGCTCAATATTGGCTGGACTGCATATATTAATGATTTATTTGTATTAAATCAATATTGTTAAATATTTAATTATTGTCTTTATATGTGACTTTATTTTTGATAAGGCATTGTAACAGTACTACTTCTTAATTTGACCTTTTTTGTATGAGGGGGAGAAGCCCACCAGTAAGTTTTATTTTGCATGATGATGATGATAGCTTGAAAGGATTTAGATTAATAAAATACCACATGGATCTTTTTTTTTCCTATTGGATTGTAAAATATTTATGGATTGTCAAAAAAACTATATGGAGTCCCCCTCGTGACATTCAACAGTCCCAGCTGGCCATACATGTAGGAACTTGCAGACCATGAGACAGGGTGATGTGTACTAAAACAGACCCGAGATCGAGACAGGGTGAACAGGGCAGGCAGTCATGTTCAGATCCCTCAGTCAGAAAGGAAGTAAACTCAAGGTCCTGGTCTTCAATTACTTCATTTGCTTACTTGTAGTAAAAGTGCCGGAAACAACAACCGAGGACACAGTGTATGGTATCACAAAAAGCACAGACTGTAATAAAAGTCAATCCAAAAAAGATACTATAAACTGAATTCATAGATTATATCAAAGAAATTTATTAATTCTTTATAGTAAACAAAAATAAAGATATTGGGTATTTAATTTTGATATATAGCATATTAACACATATAAAGTACATTATGCCATATAAATTTCAACTTAGTGCGATGCACTCAGTAAATCCACATGCTTTAATTATCATTTACTAATCTTTGGATTCCCACACTCCTCCCCACCTAGCTCCAATGAGATCCACTAGGTTGACCATACCTAATGTACCTTACTTCATATTGTTTATTGAAAAAATGAAAGTTTATTCTAAATATTATAAAGCTTTTATTAAATTTCACAAGGCTTGAGTGGACACATCAACAATGTAATTGTCATTTTATTTTTTGAAATGTGTTGGACTGCCGGTCTGATGCATGTAGATGCTGCGTTGGCATATAGCGATTCCCCTCTGTGTGTGTGCGTGCGTGCGTGTGTGTGTGTGTGTGTGCGTGTGTGCGTGCGTGTGTTTTATACATATTATAGTAAACATATTTTGAAAAACATCTTGTCAAATTTCAACCAAACTTGGCAGGGTTGTTCCATGAGTGAAGGGCTTCCAAAGTTGTTCAAAGACTTTAATATTAGGCCTAGAGCATAGATATTTTGCATAAGGTATTGTCTGGTAGACATTCACCAGATTGTTCACATTATACCCCAGGGGTCAAATTAGCCCTGCCCTTGGGTTCATAGATTTTCCTTTATATGTATGTAGTTAAAACTTAAAATCTTCTCCTCTGAATTGACAAAGGCTAGAGGTTAGATATTTGTCATGAAACATTGGGTAGTGAACCTCTACCAAGATTATTCACGTTCCAGCCCTAGGGTCAAAATTAGCCTCACACCTGGGGTCATATATTAAGGTTTTCCTTATACAATGTGTTGTATGTAGCAAATTTTTTTTTAAAAATCTTCTTATCAGGAGGCTTAAGGGTTAGAGCTTAGATACTTGGTATACATTGTATAATATCATCAGTACGTCCTTTATCAAAGTTGTTCAAATGTTGCCCCTAGTGAAATGGCCTCAGGGTGTCATAGATGTCCCTTAAATGTATAAACATGTATAGAAAAAAACTTAAAAAAATATTCTCCTCTGGATTGACAAAGGCTAGATGTGAAGCCTTTACCTGTGTAGTAGGCATCTATCACTATTGTTCAAATTATAGCCCTGGGGTCAAAATTTGCTCTGCCAGGGAGTCTTCGTAGGTTTTCCTTATACGGTTTGTATATAGTAAAAACTTAAAAAAAATCTTGTCTGGTCGTACAAGGTTTACCAGGCACCAGGGTGTCATAGGTTTTCCTTAAATGTATATACATGTATAGAAAAAAACTTTAAAAATATTCTCCTCTGAATTGACAAAGACTAGAGGTAAGATATTTGGCATGAAACATTGTGTATAGTAGACCTCTACCAAGATTGTTTAAATTTTAGCCCTGGGATAAAATTTGCCTTGTGCGAGGGTTGGGGGAGGGAGTCATTAATTTTCGTTATGTACTTATAGTAAAAATTTAAGAATGTACAAGGCTAGAGCTTAGGGCTTTGATGCCTAAATTTTGTCAAGTACAAATACTTTTATTTTGAATCAATTATTGCACTATGGCGTGCATTTTTTTCCAGTTAATGTATTTTGAATGTAAACGAAAATTTTCACCTAACTTTATGTAACTTTAAGTCTTGCTGAATGATTCAATTCCACATTTTTATAGACTACAAACCTGCATGATGGTCTTGTTTTTATAGTAATAGATAACAACACTGAAGACTCTATTTTACTATTTCAGTATTGTTTACTGCAGATAATAAACAGGTCTTTGCAAACTGATTTCTGTATTGCTCTTCAGTTTCGCAAACCATTATAGTCTTGCTTGGAAAAACACAACCCTAGTATGTAGGAACAACACCTCTTTCTTGTCCTATTTATAACTTGAGAAGAAATAAGCCTAGGTTTGTATTCGGGATTGACTGTAACCAGTCAATGACTTCTATTGAGGTCAGTAGATTAAAATCACATGATCTTGATAACACAAATAGAGACCGTATTGTCAAGCAATGTATACCTCAGTGCTTGCAGCGTTTTGATTATAATTGGTACAATGCTAGTTGTTTTTACAAATTTTGTGATAATAATGTAATTTGTTTGATATTATGTGACATTACTGAAGCAGATGCCCAGTAAACCGATTAGAACATATATATATGTTTACTTGACGTTTGGGAGTTTGTGAGTGTATACTTGGATGCAATATCTAAACCATCATTCGGGTCTTGTTTAATTTGTGTGCTAGTAAGCCATCCAAACATAAATGTTACAGGGGGTAATAAAATTCACATGTTAATTATTATATGGCCACCAATTGTGTAAACAACTTTTATTGAATAAATATTGGTTAATAAACAACAACATGACTGTATAAAAACTCTTGAAAGCACTTCTTATATAATAATAAAAATGAAAAGATTTACCCTTGTCCGTCCGTCCGTCCGTTCCCTTTTGTGTCAAAAAGTATAATTGACCTAGAATCATGAAACCTTACAGGAATGTTGATCTGCATGTGTAGTTGTGCACCTGGGTATTTACGTGTGGATATTTTTAGTATTTTTAGAGTTATATTGCCCTTTATAATACTTAGTAAAATTTACAATATTTAACTTGTGTTGCACGTCACTCAAAAATATTTGACCTAGAGTCATGAAACCTTACAGGAACGATGATCAGCATGTGTAGTTGTGCACCTGGGTATTTTTGTGTGGATATATTTAGTATTTTTAGAGTTATTTCCCTTGAATTAGTAAAAATTTCCAATTTTCAACTTGTGTGTCGCACGTAACTCAAAAAGGATTTGACCTAGAGTCATGAAACTTTACAGGAATGTTGCCCAGAATGTGTAGTTGTGCACCAGGGTATTTTAATGTGGATATTTGAGTATTTTTAGAGTTACTGCCCTTGACTTAGTAAACTTGTGTTGCACGTAACTCAAAAAGTTTATGACCTGTAGGCCTGAAAGTTTACAAGAATGTTGGTCAGCATGTGTACTTATGCACCTTGGGGTATTCTTGTGGATTTATTCGGTATTTGTAGTATTTGCCCTTTACTTAATAAAAGATTTTTAGTTTTCAACTTGTAGCTATAAAAAAAAACTTTTGACCTAGAGACATAAGATTGACGACAAATCGGTGGAGTGTGGGGGCACCTATGGACACATTTCTAGTTCTGAACACAATTCATACTTTGTTTTAACTAAAGAAGGACATGTCTTACACCTCTGTTACATTTAGAAAATGTCGCTATAGTAATATTATTTTTATGAACTATGTGAACATTTTAACAAGGTCACTCCCTAGGGGACACTTCGTTAACCAAGAATCTTTTAAGAATTTATGTACTATCATGTAGAATCTAATTTAGACTGTTCAAAGTGTAAATATTGCAGAATATATGATCATAATTTTTCATATGAAAAACACATGAAAGTTCACATATATTTTACATATGAAAACTTATTCATATGAAAAACATGTGATAACCATGAGTTTAACATATGTTTGTTGACACATGTTTTTCATATGGTCCTGTTTACATATGTTAATCTTACATATGAAAAACACATGTTCTTAAACACATGTTTTCGGAGGAAGGTATTCTAGTACTGGTGTAACTCTCCAGGAACGATGGTTAGGAAACTACCCGCCTATATGACTGAAATACTGTTGAAAAAGGCGTAAAATGAAACAAACAAACAAACAAACACATGTTTTTCAAAACACATGGAACACATATGTTCTACATATGGAAAACATATGGGGTACCAAACATACAGCAAACATGTGGTGCATATTTACCTGTGAACTTATCCATTTATTAAACATCTTAATACTTCAATAATAATGTATTAATAAAAAAAATAAAGATGGGGAGGAACTGTCTGCTTATTTGCAAATATGCAGACAGTTCTCCCCCAAAATAGGGGAGGAAACGTCAGGGCAGGAACTGGTAAGGGAGAGAATAGTCTGACTACCCATAAAAACCCACATGATTAATAAAAAAACGAAGAGCGCGATTTTAATTGACAGATAAGATAATTTCATTTGAATATGTTTGTATTGCGAATTTCTCCTCTTACCAATCGGAAAGATCAGCTATTAGGCCCGAGAACTTCAGAAGTATGTGTATACAAAAAACGCCGGGAACCAGGTCTTCAAGATGACAACGATTTTGTTTCCTTCTTCGTATTTAGTTTAACAAGATGGCCGAACATCTCTAAAAGTAAGTATTCAATAAATAAACGATTCTTAAATCTTGAAGACAATGCGTTATTTGCGTTTTCGACTTAATATGATTTTGAAAAGTGCCATGCAGCTAGCAGCTAATATACAGTAGGGTGTGTCCTGTACGGCTAATTCTGTGATTTAAAACTTTATAATTTGGGTTTTTAAAACTTTTTAGCAAAAGTTGTTGGAACTTGGATACATTTAAACAGGTCTAGGATTTCATGATATTTATGGACTGTCCGTAAATTTATAGATAGTCTTGAAATTTAATGATTTTTCAATCCATAAATTTACAGATATTCAATGTCAAATTTGCTGGTTTTAGTCTTACACTAAAATCCGCAGCGATGAGTTTTATTGATAGCTTTAAAAGGTTTTCAGAGTAGCCCTGGTCTCCACAATACCGGTGCACATATTTTATACATGGTGTTTTTCAGATAAAGTTTTACTGACTTGAAAAAAAGAAGGAATAAACAACTTCATTAACAGTTAATCCTCTTTAAAATACATTACAGGGTTTTGTTACTCTGAATATATTTCTGCTCACTATCCCTGTTTCTCGTGTTCTCGGGGCTTCTCGTATTCTCGGGGAATAATTAAAATTATTTATTTATTTTTTTTTTATTTATTTTATTTTTAGCAACAACATAGATCACAGTTACATAATAAGACATATATATATATTAGTCCAAATATTTAGACGTAACCGCGGATTTGAAGCTATTTTTTACATGGGTCAAATCCGCTTTAACGTCTAAAGATATCTATTTAAAAATCCATAGCAAAATGAAAAACAATAAACATGCACAATCATTCAAACTTCCGATGCAAAATGTTACAAATAATCATAATCCTACCACAAATGTGTATTTTCCTTATCAAATTCAACTTATTCAAATTTTAAACAATTTAAAACAAATCCTGTGTAAAAATTGTGTAAACAGCCTCCATATTGTGTGTACTACGCAATGCGGTGATTACTGGAACCAAATTTTTTAGACGAAATTTTTACTGCGTGCACCAGTCCTGTCAGCGTCTTAAATCACAACAGAAAAAGTTTTCGTTCAGACAAATTTCGTACTATTGTTTTTTGAGTGACGTCACAGCATGACCGGGAATTTCCAATATGGGGGTCAACACAAAATATTTTTAATGTGTCTTCTTAAATATATGGATAAATAAACTACTTACCGTGAGTAATTTTTGCATATTTTTACAGGTTTTGGGAAAATATGCTTCCGTCTTTCATGCAATCAATTGCTTTTTGTGATAAATAGCATTTAAGTTGTGATTTACCGGTAAATTCAAATCGACTCGAGAAGCGTGTTGATTTGTGCTATGGGAAGTTAGCCAGTTATGGAAAGACTTCGCATTTTCCGATAAACGTCAAACTGTAAAAAAAAGAAAATGCGATGTCTTTCAACGAAGGACTAATATATATATATATAAATAAATATATATAAAATAACAGTTTATCCAAATTAAAATATCATTTCATATTAATAATAAATAAAACAAATTTAGTTAATGACTGAGATCAGATGAGGCATTGGATAAATGTATTTAAAAAAAAAAAAAAAAAAAGTAAATAAATTAATTAATAAAATCACAGTTCAGATTAAGACTACAACAGTCAGAATTATAATTATCACAGAATATTGTTTAAAGTTACTGATAAACATGATATAAAAGAAATAAAAGAATTTCAATAAAATTTCAATACAAATGTTTTGTTTAAAAGTGATCTATGGTTACAAGAATAGCCCTTAAGCTGGTGTGCTTATTTCCAATGGGGTCCTGTTAACCAAATAGATGGAAACAAGATGAAACCAGAGAGACATTCATTCCTCAAATAAAAATAGACAATGAGATAACCTTCAAATTATTCAATCACAGTAGTTTTGCATTATCACAGAAAGAAAGGCACAGGAAAAAATAAGATAACTAAAAAATAATAAAGTTTGGCGAACTTATGTCGCCACTTAGCAATATAAAAAACGGATGGAAGCGACGCTCGCGACTTCCATCGATATCCGAAAACATGTCTATTTAGCAGGGCATTTTCATTTCCATTAAAAAAATAAAGAAATGCGACAAAAGTAGATAAAAAACAAAAATAACTGTGGAAATAATCGTAAAATCCAGAGAATAAACATTAAATTTACCTATTTCCCAAATAATAATCAATTTTCTAGTTTTTTCCATGTATCAGAAACCTGTAGCGGGTCTCTGACGCAAGACACTTCAAATGACGGTCTCACACTACTATTTATACAATACAGCTCAAAATATTTGTTCCACGAATACATAGTATAAAAAAGATATGAACTCCAATTAAAAACCAATAATGAAACATTGTTTATCCTAAACACATTTCATTTTTGAGAACTGCAATGAAAAACAGTAGTATTCGTTGCTTAATGCTCATATAACCAATAAGTAACTAATAAATAAACGTAAACTTAGTTATATATTAAAGAGATTATGTAAATAACAGCACTTAATTGAGTTTAAACTATTTTTGGAACAATCAAAATCATTTGGTACCAAAGAGGCCTCAATATGATCCTAAAAGTTTGATATGGCATGCCAAGCTGTTATTAAAACACAATCAAATTGCAGATTTAAGCCATTTAACACTTAATTAGGAGTGGCACTAATGATTTGAACTGGTATGTAGAATAAAATCATCACATAGCGACCAGCCTTAACAACCAATCAAATTCCACGAGAATACTAGAAAGCACCTGCTTCACATAGAGGGTGAAGGTCAGTATATACAAGCAGAAATATCTTTTGTTTTGCTAACAGTTACGTTCTTTCTTTCTTTGTATTTTGTTTATAAGGTATTTCTCTGTGTATCAGGCAAAAAATACTGTAACAAAATGTTTTATAAATATTATGCAACTAAGTTTAGTCCTTAACCCCCCGAGAATACGAGAAAACAGGATACTTATGTAAACGGTGGTCGACCATTTTGTATGACGTAGTTAAACAGAATTCATGCTACCGGTGCACTGGTAAAAATGTTATTTACAGGTGTATATTATACCATGTGGCTGGATTAAAAAAATTCCCTTCACTTATTGACTTAAATCAATGTTGTTGTGATTTTCTGGTACTTTTATATATCATTGAATCTATTTTATTTGTATATGATGCAGGGCTTCCATTAAGTTTCAAAGTTTGAAAGTCAGAGACTGCAAAATATCTGATATTGGAAGTCACATTATATAAGTAAAGAAGAAAAGGTATTAGATTTTGGAAGTCACAATCCCACATCAGGCCTTCAAGGAGTAAATGACTCCCAAACTTCCATTAACGAAAGCCCTTTGATGGAGATTAAATATCAATATGGCACTTTACACAGACTCACTTAAAAGACTGAATGAAACTGACTTTTCAATTTTCACAAACTGTTTTATATGCAATAAGTGAAGGGAATTTTTTTAATTTTTTCCTGCCAAAAATGATACAACATTCATTTTAGAATAACAAAGGCAATATTTAAAGTTTTATTGCTGTCATTTTATATAAAATACTTTTTTCTGTAATGATGCTTAAGGTTTATGTCTAACAGTCATGCTCAGTTATCCATAAGGTTGTTGACTTAAAACGACTTGTCCCGACAGGGACTTTGGGTTCTTTCATATGAGGAAGCTATCCAGCTAGCTTTCGGAACGTTGGTGGTTCTACTCAGGTGCCCGTTCGTGCCTGAAATAATGCACAGAAGGGCACCTGAGTTCCTCCTCCACCAGTAAAGCTAGAACGTGGCGATATGATCTATACTGTGACAATGTGAAGTAAAACCCACTCAAACAAACAAACAAACAGTTATCCATAAATTCTGCCTGAACTAATTTTAGAGTTCTTTAAATTTTTGTAAATTCATTATAATTATTTAATAGATATGGAAGAAGGCAAAGATTATCTAAAGCCATTAGACAACAGTTGTAATTCAGAAACTGATACATCACTGACTTTGTTGACAGCAACAGTAGCTACTGATGTTGCAGCGGATATTAACCTTGGTTCCCTTAGTGACATGGCTGACACGCTGAATGCTACAGATGTTCATACTGTGACAGAGGATTCCACTGATCATCAGATTAAAGTAGATGGTAATTTCAATGTTGTACTGTCAAACTTGTGAACTGATATCTAAAATGGTCACTTATAACAGAGGTCTTTTAATACATGTACACAATGAGTGTATTAAAATGTTTCATTTTGCTTTATGTTTGTGTTTTCTTACATTGTTGTATATTTTGTTGAACTTATAATTGCTCTTTACATAATTTATTCTGTTAATGTAGCATGTCTCTAAAAGATAATACTGTTGTCAATCTTTTTCAATAATAAGATAACTAAATATTTCTTTGGAAAAAATATGTCAACCATCCTATTTTTAAAGACTAAAAAGACACCAACTGAATTTATGTTTTCTTTAAGAATATGAATTTGATTAAAAATGATCCCATTTTCAAACCAGTAAGAACGTGCCATCAATTCAACCAACAACAAAAAGATTTCTTGGTACATTATCTTTAAATAAAATTTAACCTGACTTGGATGTCTGTCCAAAAGTTTTTATTGCCCAAAAGGTTTTGACTTATAATTTTATTCACCTGGCCAGCTGGCTGTCCGTCTGTTAGCAGTTTTTGTGTCCAGTCTGTATCTTTTGAATCAGTGGAAGGAAATTGAAACTACTAAATGTTATTTGCAGACTTTTCTGAAGTCAAGGTCACAAATTGTCCTCACTAGAATACCATGTAGGACTTTAATTAAACCCTTGGTTTGGGTGTTTTATATTTTTATTATGCCCCCCGAAGGGAGGCATATTAAAATCGCACCGTCTGTTCATCCCCACTTCATTCGTGTCCGTACTGTAACATTGAGTGATTTTGAAATAGCTGGGCAGAAATGTTTCACATTATCACAATTAGAGTTAATAGGTACACATAATCGTGTCCGAGCTGTACCTTTGTCATGCATAGAAGGATTTTAGAATAACTTGGCATAAATGTCTATCAAGACAACAATCTTCTTCAAAGGTCAAGGTCACACTTATATTTTGAAGGTTCACATTATCACAATTAGAGATTATAGGAGCAAACACTCATGTCTGATCTATAACTTTGTCATGCATTGAAGAGTTTTAAAATAACTTGGCACAAATGTCTACCACATCAAGAAAACATGTCGCGTCAAAGATCCATGTCCCTACTTTCAAGGTCAAGGTCACTCTAATAGTTTGAAGGTACTAATGCTGGCACAGATTAGTTTCCAAACTGTAATATTGTCATGCATTGAAAGATTTTAAAATAGATTGGCATAACTGTCTACCACATCAAAATGATGTGTCACGTCCAAGATCCTTGTCCCAAGGTGTTAGTTTTGTTTATACACATTTATTTTAGTTTGATTGTGTTGGAAGCTGTAAGCTTATTGAAACACTCTCGAATTAGTTTCTTGAACCAACCAGTACTAAGCAATGAATGTAGTAAAGTAATTCTTGCAAACAACAGCTTGCCCCTGACAGGGTTTGAACCCACGCGGTCAGCAATCCTTAGATTACTAGTAAGACGCGTTAACCACTCAGCCACGCCACCACTAAGGTTTCAATGTCCCAAGGTGTTAAGTTTGCTATAACAAGCACTTCATTTCGCAAGAACAATATTAACCTTTTACCCGCTGAGCATATTGCGAAAAATTGCCATTTTCATTGAAAAGCCTCCTGTAACAAGTTTGAACTGCTATCATCAGAAACTATGAAAAATGCTTCAGTACTGATGAAACTTGGCACAAATGTTGATTAGACCATAGCCTCTGTAACAGCATGCTCAATCGTAAATTTCATGTTACCATGGCAAAGGGGGAACATCTCAAAATTGCCAAAAATCACTATTTTGCATTGTTTTTTCCATCAAAACTGATTTCAAAGTGCTGCAACTTCTCAATGAATTGAAATAGAGAAAAAGGCTTTTCAGCGTCGGTTACTAGTTACCCTAAGATCGACCTGAGGCCATTTTTAGCATGTCACATGTCCAAAATTTTCTTGGCGATGAGGGGCTGCCTACCGCCCCCCCTTTAAACCCCCAAACAGAAGGGGGCACATCTGGCAACCCCCTGTGACATTTTGATGGGGGCGGTGCCGAAAAAGTGGTATCTTTTTTTAACAAGATTTCTCAAAAGAAAAACAATAGGGCATTTTTTCACTGTTTCAGGTCTCTAAAAGGGGAGGAGGGGGACGAAAAGCCGTCAAAACACGTCTATATGAGGGAAAAGGTTAAGCAATTAATTAGTGCTTTCACTCACTTTTCCTTTCATAATACCTGCATGCTTAAGAAACCTTTTCGGGGGCATTCGTCACTTGTGTGACAGCTTTGTTATAACATACAATATTTCAGCATATGCTGAAATTTTGAGTATTCTAATGTTTACTCTGCCAACGATTATAGCTAGTGTCAGAGGTCAGGTAAGCAAACAGTGAAATCAAGCATTTTCTAAGCCATACGGGTTGTCTGGTTCTGTTGGTCCCCAATCAGTTTTTGAAAAAAGATAAAAATACACTGGGATTGTGTCAGAATCCTGAAATCCTTTTCTTTTTCTTTTAAATAAAGTTATAAAATGGCCATTCCTTTTTGTGTTGCCTGCTACAGAGTACGGATCACTTTTCTGTCGTGTGTCTGGCCATCTGTTTGTCTGTCGGAAAACTTGTCAGGCCTCCTCAGAAATTGCTAGTGCAATTTCAACCAAACTTTACAGAAATGATCAGTATCAAGTCTATTGTGCATATTGTCAGCATTTTTCAGTTTTTTTTATTTTTCCTATTTTTGAAATTCATATAAATGTATATATATGTAAAAAAGCTGAAGTTTTGATCTTAATTGAGGTATTTATATGATTTTATTGAAGGGATTTTATCAAGTACACCAACAACACTTTTCCAAGAAAATTTAGTGCTTGTGGAAACATCTAAAGGGTATGTTTTATAATTTATTGACCATCTTTGATACATGTGCTTGGGAATTTGAAATTGTCTTTATATATTCTGGCCCTTAACAAAAGTTAGTAGAATATATCATGCCCCTAGGGCCAAAATTGGTCATGTAGATAAAATAGGCTTAAAAAAAGAAGTCTATTAAGATGCAATAAAAATTAAATATTTTGCATACATGTAGCATATTGCCTTATATGCAGCTCTACAAACTTATATAATTTAATAAATCATATCAGTTGGATAAAAAATTGCACTGCATTTAGTTTGAATCACAGATTTTAAGATTTGTTTAAACCGTTTATTTGTTTGCTTTTAGAAAAAGTAAAAAAAGTCGAGCTTGGCCCTATCCAGCGTTGGCTCTTGTAATTCTAGGGAATGATTAATGGCTTCCATGCCCCTCTTGATTATTAATTAAGAAATAATATCGGTTTTATCGGCTATTTAGCACCGGTTTGGAGTGGTTAATTTTTAGCTCGACTATTCGATAAGAATAAGTAGAGCTATTGCAGTCACCCGAGCGTCGGCGTCGGCGTAACCACTTATGTTAAAGTTTTTGTAATAGTTCAAATATTTTCAAAGTCCATTGACATATGGCTTTGAAACTTTGCACACTTGTTCACCATCATGACCCCAACCTGTAGACAGGAGGAGGTAACTCTATCAAGCATTTTGACAGAATTATGCCCCTTTTTCGACTTAGAATTTACGTTAAAGTTTTTGTAATAGTTCAAATATTTTCAAAGTCCATTGACATATGGCTTTGAAACTTTGCACACTTGTTCACCATCATGACCCAACCTGTAGACAGGAGGAGGTAACCTCTATCAAGTATTTTGACAGAATTATGCCCCTTTTTCGACTTAGAATTTACGTTAAAGTTTTTGTAATAGTTCAAATATTTTCAAAGTCCATTGACATATGGCTTTGAAACTTTGCACACTTGTTCACCATCATGACCCCAACCTGTAGACAGGAGGAGGTAACTCTATCAAGCATTTTGACAGAATTATGCCCCTTTTTCGACTTAGAATTTACGTTAAAGTTTTTGTAATAGTTCAAATATTTTCAAAGTCAATAGACATATGGCTTTGAAACTTTGCACACTTGTTCAACATCATGACCCCAACCTATAGACAGCAGGAGGTAACTCTATTAAGCATTTTGACAGAATTATGCCCCTTTTTCGACTTAGAATTTACGTTAAAGTTTTTGTAATAGTTCAAATATTTTCAAAGTCCATTGACATATGGCTTTGAAACTTTGCACACTTGTTCAACATCATGACCCCAACCTGTAAACAGGAGGAGGTAACTCTATCAAGCATTTTGACAGAATTATGCCCCTTTTTCGACTTAGAATTTACGTTAAAGTTTTTGTAATAGTTCAAATATTTTCAAAGTCCATTGACATATGGCTTTGAAACTTTGCACACTTGTTCACCATCATGACCCCAACCTGTAAACGGGAGGAGGTAACTGTATCAGGCATTTTTTTTACTATCAAGCACTAAGAATAGTCGAGCATGCTGTCCTACCGACAGCTCTTGTTTGCATTAAAATGACAAAACCGGTGTTAAATAGCCGAGAAACACCGCTCAGACCGATATCATTTCGATTCTAAGAAGATAAAATAAGGAAAATTACTAATGTTATTTTTTTTCAAGCGGAAATAACTTCTGGTGCCGATTTTCGTATAACACTGTTTGATTTCACACCCTACTGTTTCTAAGATATAGAAATTATTAAACAAAAGAAATAATAAGAAAAAAAGTTACAGTCTAACTTGCCCATGCGACCACGTGTATTAAGCGACTTCTGTCTTACGCTGCCACTTTAAATTCCCCCCGATCATTTTCACTCTATATCTTTTATGTATTAAGCGACATTTGCTCAACGCGACCAACTTCCGCTAATAAGTCAGCTAATTGAGATCAATCTTTTCATTTACGACCACTTTTACCTGTCAAGTATTTGTGTTTTTTGAGCATGCTGCCTCGTGTCACAAGTGTCAAGAATCAAAACACAATATATATAAATGTGTATCCCAAACTGTTTTAGCGTATGCAAATGAAGTTAAGTATACTCGTGACGTGTATTATCCAATAATATCGATAAAATAATGCAACGCTCAGCCCCTGCTGAGATGGTACACTTAGTTGTTGATATTAAGACTGCATTGAATTGACCTTGAACTTGATAAGCAATTTAATTAATCGTTACAATTAGATGTAGTTTGTTTATATCAAATGAAAAATGCACAAGAGAAAAAGGCTTTACTTATTAGGGTGTTCTTGTTGGAGACAAGGAAATACAATGGAGAAGTTTAATAATTCTGGAAAAATGTCAAACATGTATGTAAAGCATCAAAACTGTTTTGTCAATAAATATCAGAAAGTTATTTTTATGCCACCGCAGCATCTGCAATGCGGTGGCATATAGCGATTCACCTGTGTGTGTGTTTGTATGTATGTGTGTTCTATAGATTATATAGTGAACTTAAAAAATCTTCTTGTGAAAAACCACTAGTCCAATTTCAACCAAACTTGGCAAGATTGATCCTTGGGTGAAGGGGGTCCAAAATTGTTCAAAGAATTTCATTCCATGCAGAAATCTGGTTGCCATGGTAACCAAAAGCATTATAAGAATAAATTCAAGAATAAATTAAAAAAATCTTGTAAAGACCCAAAAGGCCTTGAGCTTAGATATTTTGCATAAGGCATTGTCTTGTAGACCTCTACCAAAATTTTTCAAATTATAGCCCTGGGGTCAAAATTGGCCGGCCCCGGGGGTCATTGATTTTCACTATATGTACATATAGTAAAAACTTAAAATACATTCTTGTCTGAAGGTACAAGGCTTAGAGGTTTGATATTTGGTATGTGATATCATCTATAGGTACTCTACCAAAGTTGTTCAAATTAAAAAATTGCCTCTAGTGTCAGAATCAGCCCCGCCCCGGGGGTCATAGGTTTTCCTTATATGTATATAGTAAAAAATGCTATAGGTTAGATATTTTGCATGAAACATTGTGTAGTGAACCTCTAGCAAGATTGTTCAAATTCACTATGTACATATAGTAAAAAATCAAAAAATCTTATTGTCTGAAGGTACACGGCTTAGAGCTTCAATATTTGTTATATGTTTCATCTATAGGTACTCTACCAAAGTTGTTCAAATTTTGCCTCTAGTGTCAAAATTAGCCCCGTCCCGGGGGTCATTCTAAGGTTTTCCTTATATGTATATAGTAAAATCTTAAAAAATCGTCTTCTCTAAATTGACAATTATTTTGCCTAAGGCATTGTGTAGTGAACCTCTAGCAAGATTGTACAAATAATAGCCCTGGGGTCAAAATTGGCCCCACCCCCGGGGGTCATTGATTTTCACTATGTACATATAGTAAAAAATTAAAAAATCTTCTTGTCTTAGAGCTTTGATGTTTGCTATATAATATCATCTATAGGTCCTCTACCGAAGTTGTTCAAATTTTTCCCCTGGTGTCAAAGTTGGCCCTGCTCGGGGGCATTGATTCTCATTATGTACACATAGTAAAAACAGAAATTAAAACAAATGTTTTCTGAATTGGAGAAAGCTACAGCTTAGATATTTGACATGAAATGTTGTTTGGTGGACCTGTATCAGGATTGTTTTGAATTAAACCCTTGGGTCAAAATTTTGCCTTGCCCAAGAGGACAGTGACCTACTTTCTTGTCTGTTGAAGGTCAGCAATGGAATTTTGACCATGTGCACAGTTTTAGTTGTAAAATTGAACTTTGATATCAGCTGACCTAGATTTTGACAAAGTGTCTTACTGTGTTGTCCTTTGATGTAGTCATGAAATTTAGGCTGTGTGAAATATGACCTTCACCACCATATTCACTAGACTCAACTGCATTGATATATTCCTACTCTGATCATTTATTTGAATAACAATAGATTTAACCACTAATCTGATAATAAGAATTAGATAGGTCAGGGATTTATGCTTAATGACAATCTTCAATTGTATAGAAACAAAAAAAAATCTGTTCCTACACGTCCATTTAGTGTTGTATTAATGTGGTGGCATAGCATTTTTCACAAATGCAATCGTGTTTTACATTTATCATCCTTTTAGATTATCGGAGCGTTCTTATTATCAAACATTTATATAAATGAAGTTGAAAAACATTCCCACCGCAAAAGAAAGATGTCATGTATCATTTTTGACTTTTAACACATGCTTAATACATGTTTGACTGTATTTTATCAAGTTTTCAACAATAAAAACTTACGTCTTGGAATGGGTTATATTGTGTTTACATCAGTGCCCAATTTATCATGTATTCATTTTTGAAATGACGCCATCATTTATGAATGAGTTGTATACATAGGATGATGTCATTACACTGCTTACGGATTGGCGCCGATTTGTCAAAATATTTATTAACTGATATGGATCAAATCTGTGGTGTTAGTGTATCATGTGAGATATTATTTCGGTATTGTATGAAAAGAAAACATAAGAACTGAAAATAAAAGTTAAACAAGTTTTTTATTGTTGCTTATAAAGGCTTTGTAAAATATATAATCGAGGGAGAAAACATAACAGCCACATATACAAATAGTTCCTAACCAGTATTTTTGGCAGTTTTACACAGTTTTTTTTCTCTTCTTTGTATATAGTTACAAAATCACAAAGAGTGTTAGATTGATTATTATACAATTATTGACTAGTGTGCCATTAAATATGATATGATATTCACTGGCAGATGACATAATTGACCGAGGCAAAACAGTAGCATACAAAAGTAATTTTGGGAGACATTTTGCCTTCGCCATCTGTCTGTCTGTCCTCACTCACAGGACAGTAATCATGTGGCTAGAGTATGGAACGCCATAGCTGCCTCATGTTATTACATTTCTTTTTATCTTGCCCAGAAAGCGTCTTATTATGTCAAATATAAGCGTTGTAATGCCATTGTAATTTGTCGACTTGTCTAAACATTGCCTTATTATGCGTAACAGTAGTCTTATCTCTTTAAAATGTGATGTTGACTTGTGTTAACATTGTTTAATTTTTTCTAACAGAAGATTTATCATGTCAAAATGTGGTTTTGGCTTGTCTGAAATGTGTCATATTATGTCAACTAGTCGCGCTATTTGGTCAAATTGTGGAGCTGATTTGTCTAAAGACTGTCTGGTCATTTGAAACTGAGTAGTGTTCTAATGTGGTAATTTGGTGTTGACTTGTAAAAGCACAGCTTTATTTTATCAAACTGCCATGATAATTTGTCAAAATACGGTGGTTAATTGCCTTAACATTGTCTTATTGTGTCAAACAACTGTGTTAATTTGCCAACGTACACACTGAGTTGTCTTTTTATATCAAATATTCGAAGTATCTTGCCGAAATGGGGTGTTGACTGGGCTAAATCATGCCTAATTATGATAAATTGTATGCTATTTTGTCAAAAAGGGATTTTGACTGGTTAAAACTCAGTCTTATAAAGTCAAAAAATTGCGGTATCTTGTTGAAATGTGGTAATGACTTTTGTTGAAATGTGGTAATGACTTATCTTAACTCTTTCCTATAATGTAAAACAAAAGTGTTAAATGGTCGAAATTTGATGTTTTCTTGTAAAACATAGAAATAGTCTTATTCTGTCTGATATTTGTGTAAATTTGTTCAAATTTAGTTATGTCTTGAGAAAGCGCTGTCTGATTTTGCTCAACTGTCCCGTTATCTTTTTTGCTCTATCTATTCACGCTCCGCGCGGGCTCTGGTCACGTTATACTAAATTTTGACAACATCCCATCTGGACAGGATAACACGATTATCTAACATAATGAGACGGTATGTAGACATGTTAACGTCATAAACTGGCAAGTTTAACGCCACTGTACTACATAATGATACTGTGTTTCAACAAGTAAACACAACATTTGAAAAGGAAAAATGATACTTCACCATAAATTAGGACGATGTTTAGTAAAATAAACACTGAACCTTGACAAAATAAAATGAAACTTTGAGAAAGAGATAGTAATTTTAGACAAGTCATCATCACGTTTCGACAAGATGAAATGACTATTTGACATAATAAGACGAATATAGACAAGTTGAATCTGCATTTGGACACAATAGCATGACAGTTTGACAAATCAAAATGGCGTTTCAACAGTTCAAAACCATATTTTGTAAAGATACCACCATTATTTCACATAATAAGACGGTGTTTAGGCATGGCGATATGAGAAAATAAGGCAGTGTTTAGACATGTCAATACCATCTTTCGACAAGTCAACAATACTATTTGACATAATAAAATAACGTTTTCATAAACAAACAAAATTTATTGGCAAGTCAACATTAGTATTTCACATAATAAGTATATTTTTAGACAAGATAACAACAGTTTTAGACAAGAAAGCATGCTGTTTTGGCACAATAAGACAGAATAACACCACCTCATACAAAGCAACATAATAGTTTGACAAAACAGGACAGCACTCAGCCAGGTCAATGTAATGGTTGAACAAGATATCACTACTACCCGACATAATACGACATGAGTTTGACAAGTTGACATTATGTTCCGACAAGAGAACACTACTGTTTCACATGATAAGACAATTTCTAGACAAATTACCACCATAGTTGGACAGAACAGCATGCTATTTTGACATAGAAGACATTCTCTAAGCAAATTAACACCAAATTTGAACACAATGACATGGCAGTCTGACAAAATGTGACGGTGTTTAGACAAGTCAATACCACATTTGGACAAGACAAAACGACAGTGTAACATAATACAACAGTGTCATAACATACCAGGATCACATTTGGACAAGATGACACTAACTTCCAACAAGATAACACTACTGTTTCACATGATTAGACAATTTCGAGACAATTCAACACCACTTGAAACAAGTCTGTGTTCAGACATATTGAAATCTTAATTCGAAAAGATGGCGTGCATGTTAGACATATTAAGACTTCCATTCGGCATGTTAACACCGGATTTGCACATGATAACATGACGTTTTGAAATAATAAGACAGTGTTTAGACAAGTCAGCACCACGTTTTGACAAGAGAAAATGAATATTTGACCTAATTAGACTTTGTTAAGACAGGTCTTATAAAACGTTTGCAAGCCAACACTTCTATTATATATAATAAGACTCTTTTAGGGAAAAATAAAACGAATGTAACAACATGAGGCAGCTATGGCGTTCCATACTAGAGGGACAATAGGTAACTGTTCTTTTACTTTGATATCATTCATTCCAGAATGCTTTTATGTGGCTATTTTCTTTTATGTGGCTAAAAAGAACAATAGAGAGAACAATAGAGTAGCCACATTATTACTCTCCTGTTAGAACATCCGTCTGTTGGTTGTCCGTTCGTTGTCCATCCATCCACATTTAGCTTGTCCGCCCTTCACAGGTCAAACTATTGGTGGGATTCAACCAAACTTTACAGGAGTGATCAGTGAGTGAGTACCATTCCTAGTTGTGCACATTACTGGCATGTTTCGCTTCGCTGCACAAAATGGCTGCCAGCGCTAAAAATAGAAAAATCTTGTCCAACCTTCACAGGTCAAACTACTGGTGGGATTTCAACCAAACTTTACAGGAGTGATCAGTACCATCCTTAGTTGTGCACATCAGCGGCACGTTCCACTTCGCTGCACAAAATGGCCGCCAGAGCTAAGAATAGAAAAATCTTGTTCGGCCTTTACAGGTCAAGCTCCTGGTGGGGTTTCAATGAAACTTCACATGAGTAACCATACATAGTTTTGGGTGACATGTTTTTGTGACAAAAACGCTTCTAGTTCAAGTCTATGCACATCATTGTGGTGTAACCTTTAACTGTAATAGTAAAGTAATGTTATTTTAATCTAGAAATATGCTATAAAGAACAAAACATAACAATTAAATTTTAATGTGCCATGCATAATTAACAGTCTACGATAAATGTTTATTGAATATGAGTCTCAATCTATTTTTAGACTGGGGAACTACACCTAGTGAATATGATTTTATAAAAAGTTCTGTTGACTACTATATGAGCCAATGAGTTTGCAGCTATATTTAGATCATATAATAATATATGATATTTATTTCAGGTTATTATTGACAAACCTAGACAATAGCAATTTTAGTAACAGCTTTGTAAGCTCAGGGACAGATAACCGATGCCAGACAGTCATATCGTCAAGTCTTCCAAGTAAGTATCTCTATTACACAAATGATGTTGCAGTATGTCTTGTTTACACATTAGGTATGTTGTAGTTGTATCCCGGTACAACCCGTTTCCGGCACCTTTACAATATATCGGAGCGTTAACTAATATTTATGTTGAAGAAAATAAATATTTGTCCTGAATATTATAAAATAATCTTCCCGCTGTTTTATGAAACAAATAAAATCTACTTACTGCATTTTTTGTTTTAGTTATCCATATTCAATATGGCCGATCTAATTTCCCAAATACGGAAGTAGTATAACCTGTTTTCGGTAATTGTAGTAAAAGTATACTTCACTAAAAAGTATGCGTCACATAAGTTATATAACCTTCACATCTTTAACTGTAAGTAATATTTTAACTGTTATAACACTTTCAACTGTTAGAAACATATTTACAATTGTTTGGTTTTTTTCATCAAACGTTTAGTTGCTGGTGTCACTACAGAAAGGGCAGAGGAATTTGCCACCTCTTCTTATAACCCTTACTGTTGAACAAAATGACAAGTGCACCCAGCCCTTATATTTATCACATTGTCCCCAGTTGACAATTAGGAGTTGTGGTTTCTTTGATGAATCTGGGTAAAAACTCTTACAAACTATACATTTGTCTGTTTCTTCTGCATCAATTTCAGATTCAGAGCTTGAGAAATACTGGTTAAGTGTTAGTTTTTTGTTTGAATTCCAGATGTAGAGGGTTCTATATTTTTTGTTCTTTTACCTTTAACTGGATTCGCTTTAATCAATTTTTAGCTCGACTATTCGATAAGAATAAGTAGAGCTATTGCAGTCACCCGAGCGTCGGCGTCGGCGTCGGCGTAACCACTTATGTTAAAGTTTTTGTAATAGTTCAAATATTTTCAAAGTCCATTGACATATGGCTTTGAAACTTTGCACACTTGTTCACCATCATGACCCCAACCTGTAGACAGGAGGAGGTAACTCTATCAAGCATTTTGACAGAATTATGCCCCTTTTTCGACTTAGAATTTACGTTAAAGTTTTTGTAATAGTTCAAATATTTTCAAAGTCCATTGACATATGGCTTTGAAACTTTGCACACTTGTTCACCATCATGACCCCAACCTGTAGACAGGAGGAGGTAACTCTATCAAGTATTTTGACAGAATTATGCCCCTTTTTCGACTTAGAATTTACGTTAAAGTTTTTGTAATAGTTCAAATATTTTCAAAGTCCATTGACATATGGCTTTGAAACTTTGCACACTTGTTCACCATCATGACCCCAACCTGTAGACAGGAGGAGGTAACTCTATCAAGCATTTTGACAGAATTATGCCCCTTTTTCGACTTAGAATTTCCGTTAAAGTTTTTGTAATAGTTCAAATATTTTCAAAGTCCATAGACATATGGCTTTGAAACTTTGCACACTTGTTCAACATCATGACCCTAACCTGTAGACAGCAGGAGGTAACTCTATTAAGCATTTTGACAGAATTATGCCCCTTTTTCGACTTAGAATTTACGTTAAAGTTTTTGTAATAGTTCAAATATTTTCAAAGTCCATTGACATATGGCTTTGAAACTTTGCACACTTGTTCAACATCATGACCCCAACCTGTAAACAGGAGGAGGTAACTCTATCAAGCATTTTGACAGAATTATGCCCCTTTTTCGACTTAGAATTTACGTTAAAGTTTTTGTAATAGTTCAAATATTTTCAAAGTCCATTGACATATGGCTTTGAAACTTTGCACACTTGTTCACCATCATGACCCCAACCTGTAAACAGGAGGAGGTAACTGTATCAGGCATTTTTTTTACTATCAAGCACTAAGAATAGTCGAGCATGCTGTCCTACCGACAGCTCTTGTTTTGTTTGTTTGTTCTTTGAGATCTGTTTTGTGTCATGATCAATAATTTTTCCAAATACATGTACTTCATTTTCTGTGATGCATTTACCACCAACTATTTTACTCAAAGTATTTCTTATTTTTGCTTTCTTAACATTTTGCAGAATTTTTCTGTTCAATAAGAATGACTCAGCAGACTTAGATGTTTCACAAACTGGTGTATGTGATGTAGGATCAGGGACATCAGTTGCAGATATAGTATTCCTAAGCAGTCTGCACGAAAAACTTTTTATGGTAAAAGACATTCGGGCTTTGTCCATCAAAGTATCATATAGCCCAAACAAATTTTAACTAGCCCAAAAAATTCTAACAAAAGTTGTGCCAAGGGTTTTATCAATATGTATATCCCTTTCGGTCATTATAAATACAACTGGCGTAAATGATTCTATTTAAATTACTCTTGAAATTTTTGTGCCTACACCTTGAAAAAAAATGCAATATTTCCCTCAGTCATAGAGTATGTATTTCTTTCATATCTTAAAACATTACTAGACTGTTGGACTATGCTCCCTGCAGTAATGCTAGCCTGAACAGAATTTTACTAGATTGGGGCTCGGGCTTTGCCTATTTTTCGACCCTATCAAGAGATATGGCTGGAGCAACTTTGCCATCTTCAATTACAGACTTGTCAAAGGGATAAATTCCACTTTTCCTGAATGCAGACTGGATGTTTCCAGGATTTAAAGTGCTGACATACACTTTGCAGGCTATTTTACAGACTTCATATCGTGTTATTACATTTACACTAGATTAACAAATAAAACTGTGACATGCTGAATTCCATGCAACCCCAAATGTGCTAGTGGTTGGAGGAGATGGCTACAATGTGGTGGTAACACAAACAAATGAATATGATGAGATTTGGCCCACTCAATAATCGGTATGGTTATGTGACTCTTATGTCCATCATAGAGTAAAAGAATATCATCATCATCTCTTGGAGGCAAAAACTTGATAAGATGCTCCTTATTGTAATTGCAAAATATCTGGGAGTTAGACCATCCAGACTCAGAAACATCTCCATCTGTCCCAGCAGTTGCTCCATCCAGCAAGGAATCAAGCATCCTGGCTCCAGGGAAAACAAAGTAGGGGGGTATTACTTGGCCAACACCATTGGCACATCCAATCAAAGTAACTGTTTTGCCTCTGCCAGATGTTACAGCTTGAGATTTTGAATATTTTCCCCCGATCACTTAAGGTGGCTTATGTTCTCTGCTAAGACCCTTTTCATCAATGTTATGAATCCTATGAGGTTTGTTAAGAAGGTTGTACTTTGTAAGAATATGACCAAGTTCCTCAAAATATGCTTCAACAGCCCCCCTTGTGGCAGACTTTGCCCTTGCAATTTCTAAACTGTGTGGCTTCTTTACACCAATTTCAGGCCACCTGCTTAAAAACTTATACAACCATCTATCAGTGAGTGGGTGATCTTTATCTCTAAGGCCTAAATGAACTGCATAGTCAGATGCTAAATTTAAAGTTTCCTGGCGGCTATAGCCATAACCCATGTCATCCATTGTCTTCAAATTACCAACTGGAAGTGCTTCTTGCTCCTGGTAAAACAGAGGCTCAATATCAACTTTGCCATAAAGTATATCCTGTAGGGTTGTTCTAGGTACATTAAAGACTTTTGATGCTTTATTTGTTGACATTTTGTCTTCTTTGACAGCAAAATAAGCTTTAGTCAAGTTGTCAAGATCATAGGTTCTATAAGACCCCCCTGTCTGGCACATGATGCTGAAAAACCAAAACATCATCTATTAGCATTTATTCAATTAAAATTCAAATAGTAAACAATGAACATATCTATTAATAAGGAACTATGGTTATGTTGTCACATTATTTTTTCTGTGAAGTATACTTTATGAATCATTGACAGGGGCGGAGCTTAGATAGTGACCTACTTCTGCAGACGAGCCAATTCCTTTTTACAAACATTCAGTCTTTATGTAAAAAATATGAACATTTAAAAGCTAAAATTTTGGGAATAGTGAAAATATACAAAAAAAAGTATGTGCATACTTATTTTTACGTATACTTACGGTTCTTATCTCCATTTTGCGTCAGATAAATTTGCGTGACATTTCTGTGATGTTTGTAAACAAATCGCGCGCACTTGACCCAGATGTGATGTATGGAAGATAAAAAAACTACAACTTTCGAGGGACGTCGGAAACGTGTTGTTGCCGAATTGTGGTTGTGCCGCGATATGTATTATTCACAGGGGATATTATTTCAATATATTTCTGTTACATAATGTATACAGTACAACCTTTCACAAGGGATGTTCTTGCAATATTTTTCTATTACACAAGAATGTTATCTTTTCACGGGGGAGGAACTGTTACATGAAGGATGGAGTTCTTATGATAACTTGTCAGGTGTTCTTGTGATAACGGTGTTCGTTGGAAAAGTTTTGTGTATACTACAAAAACATTCATCAAAAATGGTAAAATTCATCTTTTAGGTGCTAAATTAAACTTCAATGATTCAGCTTGTCTTACATCTTGCATTATGTGTCAAACACTAATTCATAGTCCATTATTCATGGCCTCTTGGTTAAAATCTGGTAGTTTTAAGTAAAATGTCCAATTTATTTGCTAATTTGCACTATTGACCTGTTTATTTCTGGTCTTCACACTTGCCATTCATAATTACCTAATTATAATGCAAAAATTACAAACATAAAGCCCCGGCTTACAAATTTATAAGCGATTTTTCAAATGTCCTGGAGTTCTTGTGATAACTTTGAAGATGTCCTAGGGCTCTTGTGACAACCATTGTTACTGCCAGTGTGTATCTTGCGCTAAATCACAGCACATTTAAGGGTTTTTAGCTCACCTGACCACAAAGTGGTCAAGGTGAGGTATATTGATGGGGTAATGTCCAGAGTGCGTCAGCGTTGTGCATCGTCAACAATTATGTTGTTTACACTCTAGCAGTCACAGTTTTGATTGGATCATAATCAAACTTTGTCAGAATGTTTGTCTCAATGAAATACAGGCCAAGTTCGAATATGGGTCATCTCGGGTTAAAAAATAGGTCACAGGAGCTAAAAATAGAAAAGCTTGTTCCGAGGCTTCAGTTTTGATCCAAATATCCTGAAAATTGGTCAGAAAGGTTGTTTATGATGATTTCTAGGTCAAGTTCGAAGATGGGTCATTTCCTGTCAAATAGTAGGTCACAGGAGCTAAAAATAGAAAAATTTTGTTAACACTCTAGTGGCTGCAGTTTTGTTTCAAATATTCTGGAAATTTGTCAGGAAGGTTGTTTTGATAATATCTAGGTCAAGTTCTAATATGGGTCGTCTCCAGTCAAAAACTAGATCACAGGAGCTAAAAATAGAAAAATCTTGTTAACACTCTAGTGGCTGCATTTTTTATTCAAATGTCTTGGAAATGGATCAGGAAGGTTGTTTTGGTGATTTCTAGGTCAAGTTTGAATATGGGTCATCTCTGATCAAAGCAAGGTCACAGGAGCTAAATATAAAGAAATATTGTTAACACTCTAGTGGCTTCAGTTTTGATCCAAATATTTTGGAAATTGGTGAGGAAAATTGTTTTGAAGATTTCTTCAGGAAGGTTGTTTTGATAATATCTAGGTCAAGTTCGAATATGGGTCGTCTCTGGTCAATGTGGTCACAGGAGCTAAAAATAGAATAATCTTGTTAACACTCTAGTGGCTGCAGTTTTGATTTAAATATTCTGGAAATTTGTCAGGATTGTTGTTTTGATGATATCTAGGTCAAGTTTGAATATGTATTGTCTCTTGTCAAAAACTATGTCACAGGAGCTAAAAATAGAAAAATCTTGTTAACACTCTAGTGGCTGCATTTTGATCCAAATATCCAGGAAATTGATCAGGTAGGCTGTATTGATGATTTCTAGGTCAGCTTTTAATATGGGTCATCTCTGGTCTAAAAGTAGGTCACAGGAGCTAAAAATAGAAAAATCTTGTTAACATTTTATTGGCTGCAGTGTTGATCCAAATATTCTGGAAATTTGTCACGAAGGTTGTTTTTATGATTTCTGAAATCAAGTTTGAATATGGTTCACCTGGGGTCAAAAACTAGGTCATTCTGCCCAAATATGGAAAAACCTTGTTAATACTCTAATGGTAACATTTTTGACTCAGTGATTTCTAGGTCAAGTTTGAATATGGGCCACCTGGGGTCAAAAGCTAGGTCACACTGCCCAAATATGGATAAACCTTGTAAACACTCTAGAGGTCATATTTTTTACTCAATTGTCGTCAAACCTTATCAGGATGCTTGTCTAAGACATTGCTCGGATGAGGTCTTGGCCCTCTTTTTTACTATTCAATAAGGTTGTAAGTCATTATGAAATGAAGAACACTCATCCTAATAAAAATAAAATGACAGTTCATGAGCACCATGAGAAACCTACCTTCAAGGTCAAGGTCAGACTTGAAGGTCAAATCTTTAGATGGTCTGTTATAGGGTTTGTTTTGTGTCAATTGTCAACAACTTTTCTGTACACCAAAGGATTTTGAAATAAGTTTGAAGAAATATTCACCATATAAAGACAAGTCATGCACAATGCCTAGACCTCTACCAAAGGTGAGTGTCGCATTTTAAGGTCAAAGTTTTGACATGACATTTCCCTTACCATTTCATGGGAATAAATCCAATATTAATAGAGGTTCAAGTGAAACTTTAAAAGATTACAATAAGAGGAAGTGCACTGCAAGAGAACCATAACTCCATCTTAAATGATTTTCAAATGATCCCCCTTTATGTAATTATTTGCAGTAATAGAAAAACCTGCTTAAAATGTATTTCTATTGACACATGATAATGGCAAGGGGCATATAGTGTTACACCTGTCCGTCCATGCGTGGATGTGTGCATGCATTTGTTGGAAAACCTTGGCAGGCCCAAAGCAGTGTCATGCATCAAGGACTTTTGAAACATTTTCAGCAGTCAAATTTTTAGCTCAGCGGATGGTAATCTATTGTGACCATTTTTTATTGCGAAAAAAAAAATCTATAAAAATCTTCTTCTGCAAAACTGCAAGGGCTAGAAATTCCACTTGGGACTTTGATCTGTCTCTTTAGTGGAAGCTGTCCAGTTAGCTTATGAAAAACAAATCTAGAGAAAGAGTGATCCCTAGGAAGCATTATTCACATCAAAATTACACAAAAATTGCAGGCTCAGTTTCATTGAGTCTGTACATAAAGGATAATGAAAATGTGCAACATCCCTCAGGCCCCCTAGCACTGGCCTGAGCTGTACTCAATTTTCAATACTTAAAATTTCTGGAATCACTGTGCCAAAGGACCAGAAAAATATAACGACACTGAAAGGTTTGCAGTTTGACGCAGACACTTTGTTGTGAGATAAAGTTTAATTAAGGTTAATACACTGGTATTTGAGGCAGATAATTTGATTCTGTTTTTCATGTTTTCTTTGACAGCAACAATACCAGTATTTTCAACATTTGTTGGTGCTGGGGATGACAGTCAGGTCACAATGTACGGAACTGTTGGAGAGGGAAATGTTCTGATTCCTGCCAACATATTCCAAGATGCTGATTCAACCTCTGAACTCCAGCCGAGTATCTCAGTGGCTGATAGTAATACTGCGGAGGATAGTCAACCTAAGGTAGGATAATTCTATTCATATTGATTTGTCATTGATTCTCAGAAGTTAATTAAATATCAGTTGGAATAGTGTTTGAATTATTAATGTTCAGTAAAGAAAACAAATGTTAACTATGAATTGACATTAATGCATTGTTCTTAATGATTAGTAAATGCTTAGGCAAAATGCAAAAGATGCAGCAATTCAGGCTTCTACTGCCAAAGCTAAAAATAGTAAAACCATTAAAACAACCTCCCTTAACTATTTGGTAGATTTTGGTGAATCTGTACAGGAATGATGCTGTTTGGGTCATTGCTGTACTACTTGTAGGCCCTTATGGATAACATTTAAGACAGTACCCATCCATTGGTACCCCAAAAATACTGAACCGCCATTGAGAATTAAATATTCCATAAATTGATGTCATAAAATAATTTACATATCTTAACCTACAGGACTGCAGTCGGACTTCCTTCCCCTTTCTTAGCATTGTTGCTTGGGCTTAAGCCCTAGGGCCAAATACAAGTCAGTCTGCTTCACTTTAGACATAATTTTGTTGTCCGTATTTCAAGAGTGTCGAGGTATATCAAGTATACTTCATTTCAAGGTACACTGGCGTCTACATGTAGCACTCGGGACAACAATAACCCAAACTGTGAAACAGCAGGAATGATCAATAGGTTCTCCTTTACAAAAATTGCTCATATAGTAATTGCATTTTATAGTCTAAGTTTCATGCTTACGCACGTTCACCGACTTTACAGCTATTACCCCTGGTCATCGGGCTTCTGGTATCTATCTATCAATCTCCCTGGGGAGTCTTTTAACCCTGCTTAGTGCAGCTGACACTTTGGCGCAACGGAATTATACCACCCTCGCAGGTACCCATTTACACCTGGGTGAAGTGAAGCAATCGCAGGTAAATTTCTTGCTCAAGGAAATTAGCAGTGCCCCTCTCAGGACCTCTCAATCCCTAAGCGCGCGTCCTACCACTGGACTACTGCTCCTACTAATGTGGTCTATTGGACAAGATGGTCATCAGAGCTAAAAACAGAAAAAAATGTAAAAATAACATATTGTCCGCAATCACCCAATGATTTTGATGAAACTTTACAGAAATGATCTCTTGGCCACCAAGATGGCCACCAGAGCTAAAAATAGAAAAAACCTTTAAACTGCCTCTCTTCCTTTACTGTTTGGTGTATTTTGATGAACCTATACTTGAACGATCCTTAGATGGTCCTCTACAGTTTATGCTCAAATGGTTCTGGTCTGCTGAACAAGATGGCAATCAGAGCTAAAAAAAACCCCAAAAAACCCATTTAAATCACAAGTGAATACCTTTAGATGAAGTTTATAGTAATGGTTAATAGGTAGTCCTTGCTATAAATTGCTCAGATCGTTTCAGACTGACACAGACAATGAAAATGTTTGTTGAGATATTAGTTATGATGTAAAGATTTAACTAAACTTTCTTTTGATTTGAAAAAAAAAATCAATATAAGTGAGACTGTCATTTTAGTTTTAGATCACCTCATCACAAAGTGTTCAAGTGATCACAATTTGTCCATCATCCATCCAGTGCATCTGTCGTCAAATTTTTTCAAACGACTTTTTCCTCTGAAACCACTGGGTCAAATTTGATAAAATTTTCCTTTTGATGTTCCTAGCTTGAAGCTCTACATGGTTCTGCTCCATTGAACTTGTTTAAATTTCATCTGGGTCAGAAGGGCTAAAAATAGATTTTAAAAATGAATCTTTAACCCTTTACCTCATATATACGCGAAACAACGCACTTTCGCCCCCCCCCCCCCCCCCTCTTTTTTAGGCCTCAAAAAGTGAACAAATGTCCTATTTGGGCCCCAAATACATGTTTTCGTTTGAGAATTGTTGCTAAAAAAATTAAGCACTTTTTCGGCGCCGCCCCCACCCCCCTTCCCCCCCCCCCCCCATCCAAAAGATACATCAGGTGGTTGCCAGAAGGGGGATGTTTTGGGGTTTGAAGGGGGGCGGTAGTCCCCCTCATCGCCAAGAAAACTTTGGACTTGTGAGAGGCTAAAAATGACCCCAGATCGATCATAAGGTAATGTGTAACCAACGCTGAAAAGCCTTTGACTCTATCTCAATCCCTTGAGAAGTTGCAGCACTTTGAAATAAATTTTGATGGAAAAAATCGAGGCAAAATAGTGATTTTTGGCAATTTTGAGACGTCCCCTCGTTGTCATGGTAACAGGAAACTTAAGACTGAGCATGCTGTTACAAAGGCAATAGTCCAGTCAACATTTGTGCCAAGTTTGATTAGTATTGAAGCATTTGTCATAGTTTCATAGCAGTTTAAACTTGTAACAGGAGGCTTTTCAATGAAAATGGCCATTTTTCACAATATGCTCATGAGGGAAAGGGTTAACATAGTAAAATTTGCAATTTTCATTTTGTGTCGAAAATAGCCTAAAAAGTATTTGACCTAGAGTCATGAAACTTAACATAATTGTTAGTCAGCATGTGTAGTTGTGCACATGTGGTTTGCTTGCATATTTATTCGGTATTTGTAGTGTTCCTGCCCTTGACTAAATAGTAAACATTTGCAATTTTCAACTTGTTACTCGAAAAGTATTTGTCCCAGAGTCATGAAAATCTACAGGAATGTCGGTAAGAATGTGTAGTTGTGCATCTGTGGTTGTGCTTGTTTTTATTAGCACATTTTAGGTTTAAAGTTTAGATTTGAAATTCTAAATATTGGGAAAAATCAAGATGGAAAAATTGGATGTTGTTGTTATGCCTCAACCACTTAATGCCTAGTAGGGGAAGTCATGACTGTAGAATTTCCTTTGTTTGTCATACTGTCCTGCTGTATGTCAGTAGACTGACAGAGAAGTGTGTTGGCATCCATGTCCTATGGACACATTTCAAGTTTTTATTAGCTCACCTGTCACAAAGTGACAAGGTGAGCTTTTGTGATCACAATTAGTCAGGCCGTCCGTAAAATTTTACTTTAAACAACATCTCCTCATAAACCACTTAGCCAATGTCATCCAAACTTCACAGGAATGTTTCTTTTGTGGTCACTTTTAAAAATTGTTCAAAGAATTTAGTTCCTCGCAGAACTCTGGTTGACATGTCAACCTGAAAGAAAAAACTTAAAAAATTTTCTTTTAAAAAACCCAAAGATCTAGGGCTTAGATATTCGGCATGAAACATCTTTTAGTAAGTGTCTACCAAGTTTGTTGTGCCCCCACTTTGGGGGGGGGGGGGCATTTAGATTTACCCTTGTCTGTCCGTCCGAGCAAACATTTTGGGTTTAGGGGCTATATAACAGTAAAGAGAACAAAAGAGAACAATAGGTTCATTCGTGATCAAAGGGTTTAGAGGCTAGTAGCCCTTAAGAAAACAAAGAAAATAACAAACATCTTTTAGTAAGTGTCTACCAAGTTTGTTGTGCCCCCACTTTGGGGGGGGGCATTTAGATTTACCCTTGTCTGTCCGTCCGCGCAAACATTTTGGGTTTAGGGGCTATATAACAGTAAAGAGAACAAAAGAGAACAATAGGTTCATTCGTGATCAAAGGGTTTAGAGGCTAGTAGCCCTTAAGAAAACAAAGAAAATAACAAAGAAAATAGCCCCTAAAGCCAAAATGTTGGAACCTCCATCCGTTTGTCCATTCTCTTTTGTGTCGCATGTAAATCAAAAAGTATTTGACCTAGAGTCATGAAACTTACCAGGAATGTTGATCAGCATGTGCAGTTGTGCACCTGGGTATGTTCGTGTGGATTTATTCAGTATTTTTAGAGTTATTGCCCTTGACTTAGGAAAAATTTGCAATTTTCAACTTGTGTCACATGTAACTCAAAAAGGATTTGACATAGAGTCATGAAACTTTACAGGAATCTTGATCAGCATGTGTAGTTGTACATCAGGGTATTTTCATGTGGATTTATTCAGTATTGTTAGAGTTATTGCCTTTGAGTAAGAAAATTTTTGCAATTTTCAACTTGTGTCACATGTAACTCAAAAAGGATTTGACATAGAGTCATGAAACCTTATGGGAATGTTGCTCAGCATATGTAGTTGTGCACCTTGGGTTTTGCTTGTGGATTTATCCTGTATTTGTAGAGTTATTGCCCTTGACTTAGTAAAAACCGTTTCATTATGTTGTGTTATTCAATGTTCCTTGAGTTAGAATTAACCAACTTTACAGGAAAAATGATCAACATCACTAAATTTCAGGAATAATGATCAACATCACTGCGAAGCTATGCACCTGGGACTTTGCATGTGGATTTTTTTTTCAATTTTGTTATTGCCCTTGATTTACAGTAGTATAAATTTGCAAATTTCAACTTGTTCATGCATAGCTCAAAAATATTTGACTTGTAGGCCTGAAAGTTTACAAGAATGTTGGTCAGCATGTGTACTTATGCACCTTGGAGTTTGCTTGTGGATTTATTCAGTATTTGTAAAGTTCTTGCCCTTTACTTAGTAAAAGATTTTTAGTTTTCAACTTGTGGCACATGTAGTTCAAAAAATATTTGACCTAGAACAGTGACGTGTGGGGGCACCCGTGTCCTATGAACACATTTCTAGTTCAAATAAAAGCCCTGGGGTCAAAATTGGGCCCGTCACGAGGGGTTTTTGATTTTCCATATATGTATATAGTAAAAACTTAAATATCTTCTTTTAAAAAATCCGTATAGCTAGAGCTTAGATATTAAGCATGAAACATCTCTAGTGAGTGTCTTTTAAGTTTGTTTTAATAAAAGCCCTGACGTCAAAATTAGCCCCGCCCGGTGGGGGGGGCATTCATTTTCCTTATATGTATATAGTAAAAACTTAAAAAAATTTCTTTTAAAAATCCAAATAGCTAGAGCTTTGATATTAAGCATGGAAATCTTCTAGTGAGTTTCTACTAAATTTGTTCAAATATAAGCCCTTGGATCAAAATTGGTCTTGCCCCGGGGGTGTAACATTGATTTTCCCTATACAGTAAACTCCGCTTATAACGATATTCAGGGGACATACAAAACTATATTGATATATCCGAATATCGTTACAACCGAATTTCTGTACGGTGTGTAGCTTACTGACGATGCACTGCATCGTTCAACATGTATAAGCAGTAAAATTATATACTAGACATGTGACAAAACTTTATTCTTTTTATGCATATCAATGTTGAATGCATAAAAAATCAGTTGCACATCAAAATAAACACAAAACTGACATAAACCGAAAGTAATATGTACACAGGTACTGGTAACCTTACATTGGCTTAAATTTATACACTGGAAAAAAAAAAACGTCAAAATTAAATTGCTTTTTTAACTATTTACACTCATGGGTAAATCTTGTTTAAGTTTTGTTCATGTATAAAGACATTCACTGTCGGAAAAAATCAGTTAATTTTGTCTGCTTTTTGGCTTTCCCTATTTCAACTGAAAATTTCTCAAGTTCATGTAAACATCCGAAAACAGAATCACACGAATCAGACTTAGAAAGAACAAAGCGTCTGCAAGTGTCTATAGCATTAAGAAACTCATTCATGGTGGGTGGGGGGTCATCAACAGTCTCAGAGACACTCTCTTCGTCACTCTGCGACAGGGTTTCAGCGGGTTTCAATTTTTGCTGTACCTCCGCTATTATATCGCTATCGGACTTCTGCTCAACAGAGACAACATTCTCATCGGCATTTATGTAATCATCAAAAGAAATGTTTTTGTCTATGTCACTGAATACTCTAAGGCGATTCCATTTCGATGCCAATTCAGCCAGCGGAATGTCATCGTCCTCGAACTCGTCTGTGTCAGACGAATCGGAAACATGCCCCTGCGGGGTCGCATTAATTTCATGCTGTGCTTGATTCATAAATCCAGCCTTTCTAAAACAATTCTGGATACACGTCGGTGTTACATCTTTCCATGCCGCATAAAACCATTGTATGGCTTTTAGAATGTTAATCTGTTTATCGATATGTTTGTCTAGACATGAAATAATATGGTCAAGGACACGTGACCTGTAATGCCTTTTGAATGAAAAGATAATCCCTTGATCACAGGGCTGTAACTTAGATGTAGTGTTAGGTGGGAAAAACAACAGTTTTACAGCTTTTAATCCCTCGATTTTCGGATGGGCCGGGCAATTATCAACAAACAATAGAATAGATCTTTTCTCACGTGTCATACGTTTGTCAAGTTTTTTCACCCAACTGATAAATATTTCTGAGTTCATCCAAGCACGACGATTAGCTTCGTAATCTACCGGCAAACTTTTAACATTTTTAAAACATCTAGGATTTTTGAATTTTCCGATTATCAAAAGTTTAAGTTTATCAGAACCGTCCATATTTGCGCCGATAAGCACTGTGATTCTGTCCTTGCTTTGTTTGCCTCCAAAACATTTTGTTCCTTTTACCTCTAGTGTTTTATTTGGGGTCATTTTATAAAAAACGCCAGTTTCATCGATATTGTAGACATTTTTTGGTTCATAGTCCTTGATCAAACTTGGAAGTTTTGACTGCATCCAATTTTCAGTTTGTGAATTATCGACGGAAGCACCTTCACCGGATAATGTTTTGCTCGATATGCCATGACGATTTTTGAATCTTTCAATAAATCCGTTTGTTGCCTGAAAATTTTCCATGCCCAGCTCACATGCCAGAGAATTAGCCTTTCGTGCAAGCATAGGTCCATCAATAGGCACATTTTGGGATCGTACAGTCTTAAACCACTCAAACAGCGCCATTTCAATGTCTCTATTACTGGCATGACGCATTCGTTTACGGGCTGGGCTGATCGACGTAGTCTCGTATGCATTGATGACAGAATCTTTATTTTTCCACATTGAACTTAAAGGGAGACACAGGCAAAATTTTAATTTCTTAGTTATGGATTTTTCTTTCATTATTCTGTAAATGTCCTCAAAATGAATACACTAAACAGTCAAAAGAACAAAACTTTTCTCCATATAAAGAATAAAATGGTGTTTTCCTAACTTGACCCGCGTGGGTCAGGTTAGAACGCTAAGATTTCACAAAAGTTGTCACTGTGTATTCTGGAAACGTTAAAGAACATGTCAAATCAACTACTTAGACTTGTTTCAATCATACAATATCCACAATACCTGTTATTGTAACTTCTAGGGTTTGTTCAAATCACACGACTTGTTTTTAAACTATTCGGTGATTCTGTTGGCGTCTAAATTTCGTTCAACATATATAGATATATTTAAGCTTCAAACCCAAAATATACAGACTTTATACAGAAATTCATGCTGGGACTTTAAGAAATGTCATTTTAGGGTGATTTGAGTACAGATGATCATTTTTATATTTTTGCCATTATTTTGCCTGAGTATCCCTTTAATGTGTTTTGTTTAATTCCAAAATCGTTTGCATTGTCCTGTTTTTTACGTTTACCAAGATTAATCTCTTGAATTAATTTATATTTAGTTTCAATATCCAAAATTTTTCTTTTTCGTTTTTCTGACATGTTCACTGTTTTAGCTACATGTACATGTATAACTTATTTACAACAAAAATTGTTATTGAAAGGAAACAATAAAAGGACAAAACCATGCTTTTATTTTTTGAGATGAATTCACCTGTATTGAGAACAAAACGGTAGTTACGTACGCACAGAACATGTTCCGCGTCATTGTATTTAATCGAGCAGATATTTATGCATTAAAACAAGGGGACCGAGACCGTTCTTCCACAACAAACTTGTGCAGCAAATTATCGTTTTAAGATGTAATATATGTGCGTTGGGGTTGAAAATCCACATCGATATATCCGAAATAATCGATATATGCGAGGATGCTTCCGTTAGGTTATAATGGAAGTTGGCAGGGACCAAGACAAACGTATCGATATAACCGATATATCATTACAAGCGATATCGATACAGTTGGAGTTTACTGTATATTTATACTAAAAACTTTAAAAACTTTTTAAAAACCCAAAGAGCCAGAGCTTGGATACTTGGCATAAAATATTTATTTGTAAGTTTCTACCAAGATTGTTCAAATAAAAGCCCCAGGGTCAAAATTGACCCCCCCCCCATGGGTCATTGATTATCCTTATATGTATATAATAAAAACTTTTAAAAAAATTCTTTTAAAAACCCCACATAGTTAGAGCTAAGATATTAAGCATGAAACATCTTCTGGTGAGTGGCTACCAAGTTTGTTCAATTTAAAGCCCTGGGGTCAAAATTGGCCCCGGGGGGGGGGGGAGGTCATCGATTTTCCGTATATGTATACTTTAAAAACCCAAGGAGCTAGAGCTTAGATATTAAGGTGAAACATGTCTACCAAGTTGTCACAATAGGGACTACGATGGGATACCAGGCCGACCACAATTGCTATCTAAAACAACCAACAACTCGGAACAGAAAATATATACAAATTTATTTACAATAAATGAATATTTATAAATGAAAAATGATTATATATGAAAAGTCATTGCGCAAACAAACACTATCAACGTATCTCAGTCTATTTCTCCCGTAAAGTTTCTGTCATGATGTTTCAATAAAGTGGTGGCGTTGTTGAACAAAATTCGTCACAATGGCGGGG